ATTGACTACACCCAAAAATACAAGGCACAATGCTTGCAAAGCCATACAAATAAAATAAATCAATCGAATTTTAATAATGAATATCTTAGATAGATTAAACCCATCTTCAATATTATATAATTGTTAATTATCCACATTTTTTTAGGAAATAGTGATTTATGAAGTAGTTGTAGAAATGTTACCTATTTGTGTTATAATTAGAAATTACACTCTAATCTACGAATTATGGGAACATAAAATATAATTCTTGATTTTTTTACTTAACCTGTGAGTTTTGAATTAAATACAACTTTAACAATAACATATATCTAAGTAAAATATGTTATTAACTAACAGGTACTTATGTCAATAAATATTAAATTAGTAGGTATCTACCTACCTACAATATATTGTAGCTATTGTCACATTAAATATTAGTTAAAGTAATAGTAAATGTATTATTTCCTTGATTTGGTACCTCTGCTTGTCATATGTTTTTTTTCTCAAAACATTTTGAAGTTATTTTTAGGATGACTATTGAAAATACTTATCAAATTTATGTGTATAATACTAAGTCATATTTATTATAGTGTAGGTATTCTTTTACAGTCTTTTTATTCATATAGATCCCCCACACATCCTACTCTTTTTGTACAAATTTGGTTAGAAATTTTATTTTATTTTTTTTTTATCTAGTATAGCTTTTACGTGTTTTGTGCCTAGGTGTAAATCTGGGTTACTCAAAAAAAATAAAATCAACAGCGGGGAATAAAACTGACTTCGGTATTATATCAAACACGAGGTTTGATATTTCCTACACTAATTATTATATTATTATTCTGTACTATTTATTTATTAAAAAGCTTTAATATTGTTTGATTTATATTCATGCAATATGTATAACAAAAGTTTCACGGTGTTTATTTATTTTAAAAGAACGAGCGTAAATATCTAGTATAGTGGCTAGTATTTAAAAAAAAAAAAAAATATTGTTATTAAACATGAGCAAAATGGGTTTATGATATTTAAACTTATTACATTAAACTAGAAATATATTAATATATATAGTATATTTCAATATAGAAATTCAGTTCTAAAAATTGAATAAAAATAATAGAATATTAAATATATCTATAGTTATGTTATTATATATTATGTATATTCAATGAAATGTTCATATTAGAGTAAATAATTTATTACTTTTTAGGACATGGTCGATACTCAGATGATCATACTTATCTTGAAAAATTATGAATATAAATTTCTAGTCAAAAAATCAGAAAACTCCATTAAATTTAAGTTAATATTAGCTCTCATCTCAAAGCAATTATGAAAATCAAATTAAATACTATGGAATCTTTTTTATTATGGTCTAATATATCTAAATTTACTTTAAAATTAATTTTATTGTAAACTCAATATTTTTAAAATGTTTTTTTTGTCTCTTGAAAAGTTATGAAAAGTGGAGTGGTCTCGTTATTGCATGAACCCTTCAAGTTCAAGAATTTATAAGCATGAGAAATTGAGGACATTTATTCAGTCCATTAGAATGTCTAATGAAAATAGTATAGGTACTGCTTGGAAACTGTTATTGTAAATGTCATAAATAACCAAATATTATTAGTGGACATATTTTGGAACATGTTTAGCATATTTTAGTGTACCCACTAATTTAATGCAAGTCCCTTATTTCAAATTATATGTATTTTCATTCTTCTATATAGTTATGGATAAAGTCAATATTACTGGAGTCCCTTCCAAAGTGAGATGTTTGGAATGTCAGAATAAATGATCTAAATATCCGTTCCTAAACTAATATAATATAATATTAGCGATGAACATATTTTGAGAACACTGTAAAATAAATGTAAGATTAAAAAATAAAAATTATTTTTTCTTCAATGAAAGTCTGTCGAGTAATTTCAATCGTCTAAGGTATACATTTATATATATTTTGTACATGATATTCACTTCAACAAAGTTTTAAACAACTATAATATTAAATTATATACATATAATGTAAAGAATATATGGAGAAGAATTCGAAGCTATTTTTAATAAATTACTCGACAACATATTTAAGTTTTAATTCTTGTCAGATTTTAGACGTTCTTCAGCGTGTTTTTTTTTTTTTCGATACTAAGCGTAAGTAATAAACGGGAAATTTACTGTAATCAAACCCTACAAAAATTATGGAACAAGAATTTTTATATAATTATATATTTATTTGTTACCTACAGATGGCTGAAATATGTGAAAAAAATATATGTATATTATATATTGTTGTATGATGATACTCGTGACTTATACACTTTTATTTTATTGTACAATACGAAGTATTAAATATTTTTATTTTTATTATAATATTATTATAATTATTATCATCTTACAGAAATCTGTAGATAAAAAGTCTAAACAATTATGGACAAGAACAAAATTACCTGCAACATTAAATATTCCGTTGTGATGAAAGTTTCACTGTAAAATAATCGCGTTATATATATTATTATTATCTCATTCGGCAGCTAGGCTATAACGATCAAAATTCCAATCAGAAATTACTACCGACCATACAGATAATATTAATATCTGTTTATTACTAGATGTAATAAGAACATCAAGTTTATTCGCGAAAGATAAAGTGGCTATATTAAAAATACGGGAATATGGGAGAAAAAAGAGAAACATTAGAAAAGATGTTACTTTTTTTTTGATAGGTAGGTAACAATAAACTACCGACCTATAAATATTGGTAATTTTTGGGATTTGTGAACATTACTGGCTACTCTATGTCGATCTGTTTTTGGACGGCTAAAAGTCCTAAGTTGTGTTTATAAGTTATACAAATAATAATTACTATTATTTTTAAGTTAATACTGATTTAAAAGAGAAACTTATGTACATGTACAAGCATTCATCGGGACCACGGGACAGCATTTTGAAATACGAAATTTTCCCGTAGAACGCGGTACATCTGGCCACCCTGGAGAAAGGTCATTACAATTTTTTATACGTATTGAATTATTATTATTATTTACCTATTTCATTTCGAATCATTAAAATTAAAATAGAACTACCTCCAATCAATAAAGTTAGATATTTGTTAAAAGTGGTATCTGAGTAATTTCAAGGCTCAGAATAGGAAAACCGTCACTATATACTTGACCCAAAGCTTAATTTGTATTAAATAAATGTTGAAAAATATCGTTTTAACAAAGGTACTAATTTTTTTAAATAAAAAAAAATATACTAAATATTATTAGATGGATTCAATTAACTTAATATACTTAAAAAAAGTATAGGCATTTTTTGTGAGGCTATAGTGAGTTTAAAGCGTATGGTTTACTGTTTACTCTGTGTTTCGGGTAGCAATATGTCATCACAATAGTAAATATATTAAATTATCTATAGTAAATAAATATATAAATTAATAAATGCATTGCCTGGATGCCTCGAGTCGCGTTTTACATTTTAACTGTGATATATCCGATGATGAATTATTAATTCGAAACCGGTCAGATAATACACTTGCATAAAATTTCAGGCTACACATTGATTGATTCCTTTTTCATATTTTTTTACGAATATTAACTATTTTAATAATTTTTTTTTACTTTATTATTATATTATTTTACTATTTTATTTTAATATTATTGTATTGACACAGTCAAAACATATATTAACATTTGAATCTATTTATTAATTTATCGTTTATTGTTATACAGAAAGTAGAAGGCTGAAATTATCAGGTTCGGGTAGGTTAGGTTATTAAATTTCGTTATCAAATTAAACACAAATGTAAAAAAAAATGACTCAGCCTAACCTCGGATTTCATAATAATTTTATCATTCTAATATTAATTTGTCCCCCTTAGACTGTACTTAGGTTGCACTTACAATAAAACGTTAGAGTTAGGGGCACAACGCACAACTGCAATCATCTAGTATATTTCTGCCATGGTTCATTAGTTAAAACTTTTGGATCCGAGTAGTTAACGCATAAAAAAAGATGTAGGTGTAACTGTAACTGGTGTAACTTGTGAAATGATAATTTAAAAAAAAATAATTGTCTAGTTATAGATCAGTTTGAATATTATTATAACACTATAATATTCGTTTTTCTTTGTCTAAATTAAATTCGAATGAAATCAAAACATATTTATGTATAATGTAATATTTTATATTTTAAACTTGGAGCAGTTTAAACCACGCACCCGTGCGATCAGTCGAAACACACAACATACAACGGAGTCGAACATTTTACAAATTATTACATTACGTAATGTACCTACTAATAATAACAGTAATTATAATTATAAGAGCGTAATTTAAACAAGTAAACAGTCTTGACAGGCATTGTTTTGAAACCATTTAAATGAATATTTAAGTTATTGTGTATACTAAATGATTTCATTTTTACTTTTACACAATAAGTACAGTAAATATTATAATAATACCTTTTTTTAATTTATTCGGTTTTTTGTGGTTTAAATTATTGACCAAATTTTAAACGAGATTAAAATCATTAGTTATGTTATATGGTGAAAAAATAAAATTTGCTTTAAGTAGAGTATTTTACACTTTAAACGGAGCAAAGAAGCTTATGGTTTTACAAAGATGTTTATTTAAGACTTACTATAATTTCTTAGGGTAATAAAGTTTCTGAAAAGAAATCGGCGTGGGGAATTACTTTAAGGAGGTCATTTTTCAATTTTCTCAGGAGTTTTCCCAGCAAATGTGAAATACCTTGATAAAACATGGAAAAACATAAGCAAATTGAGAAAATCGGTAAAACATCAACAAAATATTATTAAAGAAAATATATAAAGCGTATTCAATTATTTTACTATAAAACGACTTCTTTACTGTTGACAAAGCATCACTATCAACTGAACTCTACTCAGATTTGTTTTTTCGTAAGCAATGGTTTATCGTTGCTTACAGGTATACATTAAATTATTTATAACAGTGGCTGCACCCGTCTCCATTATTCTAGGACGTCATTTTGGTTATAAGCTTCCTTAAGTTCAGATTTTGATGAAATTGAATAATCACGGCATTCTGAAACATGTTTAACCAAACTTCGCTCACAGTCAAATATTTCGCTACCAATGATTTATGATTTACCTCTCCAACTTCCCATCTATAACAGTGGCACACCCATTAGCAGGATCGGCTTTTTTTACATATTGTAACGTTATATTCGTGGGCAGTCCTGTAACTTCTATATGTATGAAACGCTGTCGTGTCATACACGTGAGTCTCCGTACGACGTAATTAATCATATTTTAATACATTTTTTTTCTCCTTGCAATATCTTACATTCTGACGTACACATCACACATGCAGAGCGACTATATAGTGTCAAAGGTGCTAGTGTTCTGCGAAACTGATCTAAAAAATAGATTATACATGTTTTATATAATACATCACCACAACACACCTATAGTACATTTCCCGGCTATTATATTAAAGTACGCGTATAAAAAAAAAAAAAAAAAATAAAACCCGTACACATCCGAATAGCGAACGGCTGACATTGATTGACGACTAGCTCGGTCGAGGGCACCTGTTGAATAGAATAACGCGGTAAAATACGAAATTAAAGTATCGGGTTGAATGATCTTATTCGTGACTTATAGGAAAACCACGTGGGCTCAGGTCCTGTTAATTGTCGTTTTCTTGCCGCAATAATAATTAACAATGTGTAAAGACGAATGACGACGACATTGATAGTAATAATAATAATACGATACGTTTATATGTATTATATTTTATTATTATTTTATACCCGTACGATTCGAAACAAATATTATTTAATTTTAAATAGATAAATATATAAATATTATCTTTAAATTTTTGTATTATTTTATATTTTACAATTTTTTTTTTTTACCATCACAAGCGTTTTACGTGAAATTTCGTCAAAAATGTACTAAAAATAACGATTGTTCTTACTGCGGGCAATAATACATATTTTAGTGCCACATGATGTTTTGTTTTTTATATGTACAAGAATATTAAAAATTGATATTTTTGATAAAATTTATTAAAAACACGAACAATTTTAAACAATTTTGTCATTAAGTATAAGTACCTCGTTAAAAATTAATAAAATCGTTAATTTAAATTTAGAAAAAAATCGTGTTTACCAAACTGCTCAGAATTGTTAAAAATGAACAATGCATAATATACGCCGTGTTATATTTTTCATAAATCTATAGTCAAGTCGGGCTTCACTCGATTTGATTTTTTTTTAATTATTCACTACAATACAATATGATATATTGAAATTTACCTCCCAAAGATCATTTTTAGGAATTAAACCATCAATTTACAGCTGGGATTGCAGTTTAGATTAAGTTTTTGAACAGCTGACAAAAGTCACTTTAGTTTCTATTTTTGCATTAGTGCGTGGTTTATAATAGAATATTGTATTTTTAACTATAATATAACTATATACAATTATTAGTTAGTCTTCATCAATAAACCGTAATTGTCGAGCTTGCTGTCACGTAAAGTATATATCTACTATGTATTATGGTTCGTTATTATCGTTATATTTTCTTAGAGTCTGTATAGTCGTGCGAGCATAAACACAGTGCAGTCGAGTTACATACCATACGACAACTCGACTAACCGAACCTATTAAATGTATAGTAATAGGTATACATTTGGATTGCCTGCTAGCTGCAGATCGATTATGTTATATTTTCGAATGCGTACCTAGTTATTATTGCTTTTGTGTGAATTCTCTTGTTGTTTTATTTTAATTACGGATGAACAAATATTCCGATTTTGTTTAAACAAAGTAATCGCACATTGTACGGTAGCACAAGTTAAATTTAAATTTTATCTACAACTAATATATATATATATATATTATTTGTTACGGTAATTATAAGAATAAAAATGAAACCTATAGAGACATACACATTACATTAGTAAAACGCTGAATGATATTGTTTATGTTACTGTCAATGTAGACAAATGATGAACATTTCTAATACACATACAAATAATAACTATGTTATTATATTACAGAACGTCGAGTTTACATATTATACCGTACATTACATTTGTGTTAATACAGACAATAGTGTTTAGTTAAGTTTAATACTATATAATGTTATTTATTTTAATTCGCCTAATTATAATTAAATAACGAGGGCCAAGAGAGGATCGTCCACAAAATATTTGTTTCGTTAAACAGCTCTGTAAATTGTGCATAACTAAAATCAGTTCAACAATTTATGGGTTTGATAATTTTGTATTAGTTAACATTTATTAGCTTTACAGAATCCAATAGCCAGTTATAGTTTCTGTAAAGTTCCATGCGACTCAGCAATAGATTTAAACATCTAGACGGGGATACATTCAATATTATGATAATATTATACGGAAGTGATGGGTGGAGATTTTTTGAGAACTAAATGAGAAAATCACGGAATGTTTTAATCGACTGTCCTCAGGATCAGAGTTGTTTTCTCTCGCATCCCACTACAGTGGCACACAATTAAAAATAAATAGGGGTGGCATATTGAATGGAAAAATACCACCCACCCACCAAATCGCTTTCAAAAACAGACCCGAGGGGTCTTTCCCCCTCACCCCCTTATCCTTTAACTTGAATTCTTTAACCTTGTTCATGATTATAACTAGAGGCTGGAATTATATTATAATACATATTTTTTTGAATATGCAGTCAAATGAGGGTTCGTATTCTTTAAAAATCGTGAAACGTATAAATCAATGGCAAACGTATTTTTTTCAAGATAAAAGAGTATTTCGTGTAATAAAGATTATTAGACAAAATATTGATTGATTTTCAATATTTTGTGTTGCAGTGGTGAAAATATAATATATTATTATATTTATAAAATATTATAGTCTGTTAATTCGTAATGTTAAATTTTAAAGCACATGGAACAAAATATAATTTTCAACTACGTATTTTCAAAATTCGTCTTAATTAAAAACACGTTATTAATCTAATTAAATAAAATAAATAAATAAAATGTTAAGTTAAAGTTTTTTCTGAGCTATATTATTTTTAATTATATACCTACGAAGGTTGTCCCAAAAGTAATGCACAATTTGCTCTGAATAAATAAGTTTTTATTTTAAACTAAATACAATATTATAGACCTTCGATATAATATCCCTGCTTGTCTATACACGATTGTCATCGTTTCGGGAGCGCTTGAATGCCGCATAGGACGCCATCTTTGTTGAGTTCACGGATCCTTTGGCTCACTTCTTTATTTAGTATATCTAAGTTGGGAAAACGGATCCCTCTAAGTGGTTCCTTCAGTTTTGGAAATAAATCAAAGTCCGGGGGACTTAAATCCGGCGAATACGGTGGGTGTTTGAGGCGTTCCCATCCATATTTCTCCAAAAGAGCGACGACTGGTGCTCCGATATGCGGCCGCGCATTATCGTGCAANAATTTTTTGGCAAGGAATGTTTTGTAGTAATCCCCGATTACACTACTGCCAATTGGAACTCGATCAGTGACAATTATCCCAAGTTTATCGTAAGCAAAAATCATCATTTGTTTCACCTTTGTTTGCTGGCGACGAACTTTTACTTATACGACCATCACGGAATCGCTGATGCCATCTTTGCATCGTACTACGATCCACAGTATCCGTTCCACATACTTCATTTAACGCGGCATGAATTTCAGGCACTGTTTTACCACGAATCGTTTCGATTTTAATGTATGCGCGTTGCTCAAAAACAGAAATGTGAGCCGACGAATTGTTCTCACTTTCGTTATCGCTCTCACACATCATCATACTTTACTAAAACAACTAAAACTGAAAACGCACGTGTTCGTTAGACTTCAAGCTACAAACTGATAAAATCAGCTGATAATATCACATTGCAAGACAGCTAGAGCGCGCTGTGCATTACTTTTGGGACAACCCTCGTATTTGTATCAGATTTGTTTCTATATTAGATTCTGAGTGGAGCGAAGAAGCCTATGGATTTACAAAGTTTTTTTTTTAAATTTGTTCTAACAACTTTTACACCAGGAGACTTGTTCGGAGTTTTAAGTGTAGAACTTTTTTTGAAGGGAAATCGGTGTGGGAAGGTGCCCTAAAGAGTTCATTTTCTGGTTTTCTCAAGAGTTTTCTTATAAAATTTGAAAAACCGAAAAAAACGAGAAAATGTAAGAAATATACAATAGGTATTAGTTAATATATATTACAACCTTTTTTTTTTTTGTGCACAATTTTTCTACCAAACTTTGCTCCAACTCATATTGACAGCAATGTTTCCAAAAGGAAATTTCACTAGAAAGGTATTTTAGAGAGGCCATTTTTCGATTTTTTCAAGATTTTTCCCAGTAAATGTGAAAAACCTGGATAAAACATCAGAAAATCTGTACTTTTATAATAACTTGTATATACTTGTATAACTTTTATTTGAAATGTGCGACAAAGAAGGCTGTGTTTAAAACTATAATAGAAACATCAAAATACCACCAGTTAGTAACACAATATTAACATTTAGTGCATTGGATCGAAAAAATAACAATAATAACTAGAGGCCGGATTTATACTTTTTTCTAATCCACTAAGGGGATACGTTTAAAAACATCAAAAAGTAAAAACGATTTAATGGTTTTAAAGTAAAGGGGACTTTAAATGACTCTTAGCTATTAAATTAAATTTCCTAACACTACAAAACCGATTAACACGAAATGATTTCTTTTAAATAAAATCTTTCGTACTATAAAAAAAAAAAAATATTTTTATTAATCATTTCTGTAATGTTGGAAAATCTTATTTATGAAATAAATCTGTTAGAGGGGCGGACTATTATACCCCTCTATTATTTTAACCTTTTTGTATATTGATTTTTTTTTTTTTGCAAGGCTTTTTGACGTATTCAAGTGTTTTTTTGTGAACTTTAAGAACATAATATTATATATTATATAAATCCGGCCTGTAGTGATAACAGTTATTTTTTTATTTATTTTTTTTTTGTAACAATAACAATATTGATAACAGTTATACATTTTCATAACACTTTAGCATCACTATACACTATATTATAGTACCACTAGTATAGGTAGGTGGGCACGGGTATATACTAACTGACGTGACATACCCGCCGCCGCCGCCGTCGTCGTCGTCGCGGCACGGCCGTGAACGCGGTGACGGGAAAATACCAAAACCGCGAAACCGGTCGTTAGAAATTATTATACGCGGCGGCGGCGGCGATGAAATGTAACAAATACAATATAAAATAATACGATGTTATATTACGTGATACCGTATAACGTATAATATATTATTATTATTATTATTATTATTTCGAAAGCAGTTCGGCGGCGGCGATTGAGACGTACGTACGCGTACATCGTCGTAGTCGTCGTCCGGTTGAGACTACGGTGTTATAGAGCGATCACCGCCGCCGCGGTCGAACCGAATCGAACCAGTTCGCCCCGAGAGATTCGCAGAAACCGCCGGCGCGTACGGACGCGTAATAATAATATAATACCAGCGTTCGCGGCGCGTATTAGGTCATTGAATTTGACGGATTGCGCACATCAAACCGCGTAGCGCGCGAGGTAAACGGCGCGCGCGCGCTCGATGCGTATAGAGCCGTGCGATACCGCGGAGGTTTTTTTTTTCCGTTTTTCTTTATGCAAACGCGAGAAACATATGCCCGCGGAACGATTGAATAATCGAAACGTACGTCGACGAACGCACACCGGTGCAGCCGCTCGAGAGAGCCTGCGCGTAACGCGTGAGATTAGACCGGACAGCAGCGCGAAAAGCGGCCGCACGGTACGCGAACGTCGTCGGTTTGGCCGGACGAAATATTGTTTTCCCGCGAAATATTATGTCGTTATAATGGTCTTCTGTACAGTTCCGAGCGGAACAGCCGAAAAAGCTTATAACACGGTTTTACAACGGCGTTTATTATTATTTTTTTTTTTTTGATTTTCCGCGGACGACTTCTCTACCGGCGATTTCGATTTACAATGACGGCGGTTTTTCTACAAGGAAATCTGACCGGGGAGGTGCTTTGGAGCGGTCGTTTTTCGTTTTCGTTCCAGGTGTTTTCCCCATAAACGGGGAAAAACGGGAACATGTACGAAGTGTATAGGCATTAGTAAAAAAATATTACGGCTTTTTTTTTTCCTGTGAACAGTTTTACTACCAATAATTTTGCTCCGATTTACAATGACTGCGCTTTTTCTAAAATTAAATTTGACTGGAGAGGTACTTTAGGGAAGTCGTTTTTTTGATTTTCATAAGAGTTTTCCCAATAAACGGAAAAAACGTGAAAACAGGCACAATATTAACAATTATTATTAAAGAAAACTTTTAATGCATAAAATGTAATTATTTTACCAAAATATGACACATATATTATTTACAAAGCAACTCCGCTCAGAATCGATTTTTCGTTAGAAATGGTCCGGGGCGGATAGGGCTATTTTATGTTACCGGGAACTGAATTCAAGGGGCCCCAAAAATTGTATACTCGCTTCGCTCGCAGTCCTTTTATAAAATAGGTGTATATTCTTATTCTTATATTATTTTATTTAAATATAAAACTACTATATTTATAAAATAATTTATTGATTGGATTTATTTGATAAATGGATAGAGGTATTTTCTACTTTTTCTAATTTAGTGTTTGCCCACGTCAAAAATATAAGATCAGCTTGCCTAATGCTGGGAAAATTGTGATCAATATTTTTTAAATCATTAAAAGTCTGAATTACTATTTGGTCGGCAGAAACTAAATTGACATCATTGAAGTTATTAATTCAACAAGCCAACAGTTATCTGGATTATTAAAGTAACCAAACAATTTGGTTAATGCTGAATTCTTTGATCACTATTTCGTTTCTCCTATTTTACACATCCTTTGTCTTGTACTTTTTGAACACAATACATGCATTCGACTATAAGGTTCTTTTAGGAAAACAGCACATTCATTTAAAAGTTCAAATAAACTTACGCTGTGTAAAATTTTGTTTTTTACATCACTAAAAACAAGGTTTAATACGTAAACATAACACAGTGTGTTATGAAACATCATGTGTTTCTGTTAATCTTATACTGTTGAATTTTGTAGAAAATCTATTATACATACCCTGCATATTTGCAGCTCCATTCGTTGAATTTCCAATACAGTTTTTGAATCAATAGGCCTATCCACCCCTGGCAATGGCTAAACGTTTCTTACATATGTACATTAAATTTCCGTCTATATCCTAACTTCCCAACTTCCCACCTACAACAGTGACTGCGCATGACATTATTATAGGCCGGATTTTCTCATGAAATTAAATTCAAATTCGACCCTCCCTCAGTTATGACATTTTTACAAGAGGAGGGTTCGATAATTCGTTTAATACAGCATACTAGGGTATGTTATAATAGGTATGTTATGTTTAAACGTACACCGACGGACCCCCCTCTCCTGCAGCTGTGTATAGGTTTGGTGTATCTATGCATATTATTATTCGAGTAATAATTTGTTTTCTAAAGAGGAACGACGATAACCGCGTCGCCCCCTCCCCTTCCGGTTTTTCCATTTGATAGTAATTGATTATTCAAGTAAATCAATAAATACGTGTGATCTATATAATCGTACGAGTCTTTGAAGACATAATTATTTTTGACGTAAAGATAATTGGATCTCAGTTCAAAGACGAAGAAATTAAATTTATTTTTCCGGAAGTTTTTCGATTTTCAACAATCGCACGCATCTTAAATGATAATAATGCCACTCAGTACAAGGCTGTGACAGAACTATTATAGATCACTTAGAGGACATAATATTCGTCTAGAAAATCTGAATTTTGAATCTCTATTAAACCATACATTTTTCAAGCATCATAAGGTAAAAAAAAAAAAATAAACCATTTACAATTGTCGTATGCACGCGTTTCTGTGCATCAAGTTATAATTTTGTTTTTAAAATGTAAAATGCTCTAACATAATATACATACCTGTAATGTTTAACTGCAACTTCAAGGATTAATACATATTATTCACACTAAAGTTTTCATAGAAATAAACTCACAAACAAAAACTTGAAAAAAAATTATTGGTATTTTGTAGATTTTGTATTGTGTAATTATAATTATAATTGTGTAAGATTTCGTATTATTTATACATTTTAGCAGATAATATTAACCCCTACATGTGGAAATCGGTAACAAATCAATTTTTTGTATTCATTAATTACTGCTTATCAGTTATATTAGGAATCATTAGATATATATCTAAAGATTTTGAAAATTGTATTTTTGCTCCGCTATATTAATATTCTGAAACACTGAGCCTGCAGGGAAACTTATTGCATACTAATAATCCCTACCGCAGGATATTTGCTATCCGGGTCAACGAGTTCTGAGTTTCCTATCAATATAATCTAAATATAATAAAAGTATCTTAGTATATAGCCATATATGTGCCCGTATATTAGGTAAACACTTGTGACTAGAGTGCTTATTTAATACCTATAGACTTAGTCTAGTCGAACCTATTAGACTCGAAAATTGAATAATATCGTTGAAACGTGCTGCCTATATACGTATGCCATATAGAAAACTACAACAATTCCATTTATAGCAGTCCGTTATTAAAATAATTAATAATATTACAATAATTTGGGTATTTTTTTTTTATTTTTAATCAGATTTTTCGTGACAACTAACAATCCATGTAATTAATTATTGTTTGCACAATATTTTTGTTGTATTTACGGTATTTCTGAGTAGTAATTGCTGCGCAGTATTCGTAAAAAAAAAAACGATCAATCATTTATCGTTTAAACAATGTATAATATTTTTATGAACGACTACATAATCGACTAATCGACTGTACATTAATTTTCGTCTATGCCCTGAGTCATACCCAAATCCGCCAAAGGCTTCGTTGACATCGCTATATACGTAATATGTATAATGCATAGGTACTTACTGGTATATTCGTCGAAACGAACATTGTACTAAGAAATCACTTATAAAAAAATATATGTAATATAGTTTCTATTACTTGAAGTCAACTAGGTAAGTGTTAGTTTCAAACACGAACGTATGGAATACCGAGGACCGATAACTAACGTTGATTTTATTGTAACGGCACGTTAAATATACTGGAACAGTTATGATATGTACCTATAATTTATTCAGGGAAAAAATAAACCGTCGCGCGACGAGTCATGGGTGTATTTTTGAACTGAAATCGATAATCTTGAAAAAATGAAATGAAAAACGAATGATACATATGCATGAAAAAATGGTTAAGCATAAATATGATCACAGTGAACACTGTTTGTCACGTTTACGTTCAATATGCTCAATTCCTCCTCACTAGGTTTATATCGTAGTTCTCTACAACTATCGGCATTCGGTAATGCTAATGATGTTAGCCAATTAGAATTGGAGAACTGCGATATTTAATAGGTGAAGGGAAAAAATATTTGAGCGGGATGTGCGTATTAAAACAATGTGATCATATCTATTTTATCATTGTACACGTGTATACTAATATGTATATATGTATGTATGTAATAATAATAATAAAAATAGTAATAAGCAGGTGAGTTTAAATAATTGCTGTTACACTGTCAGAGTTATTGCTGAAGAGAATTCTCGAATTATAGTTTAAACAAAAAATTCTAAAAAAAAATTTTTTCCACACAGGTTCAAGGATAATCGGCCTTATCCATGGCCGGGAGACGTATCGAGTTTCATATTGAATCCCGAAAGTGCTAATCAAACCATATACACGCTGAGTTTAACGTCGTCCGATCATGGAGTGTATACGTGTCAGCTGGCCAACCAGACAAACACTGTAAATCATTCGATAAAGCTCGTCACTCTTGGTTAGTATGTCTGTTAATAATATTATAATGTATATCTATTATTATATTTTGCAATACGAAAATGAAAATTAAAAAAAAATGGATAAACATACGGGGTCTGATCAAAAAGTTCCGGAACTATTTGGATTTCGCGCCAACGGAGCGTCGAAAAACAATAGTATTGATATCACTAGCTTCTGTGACTTCTCTTGAGCACGTCTGTTTTTGTGGATTGTCTATAACCTTCTTTGTTTTGATGTCATCGATGATTTTGTAAAATATTTTTTTCGCATTTGGGCGATTTTGTATTAAATCCAAAAGAAGAGCTTTATTTGCGATGAGGGGGAGGATTTTTCTTTTCATTTTTTTTTGATAGAACATTGTTTAGTACAGTGAAATGCAACGTTTCACATGACTTGACTACAAACTTTAACTGAAAAACTACAGATGTGCTGAGTTAAAGTTTTTCTCGAGAATGTGGAGGAAGGTCCAAGTTCAAGTTTATCAGGAATTTTTTAGTACCTACGATAAGTTACAACTTTTTGACAATTTACCATCACAATAGTTATTACTTGTATCGTTTTATTATCATCAAAATGAAAAAAAATCTTCTCCAACCAACTCCCCCCCCCCAAAAAAAAAGGCTCTTCTTTTGGATTTAATACAAAATCGCCAAAATATTTTTAAAAAACATCGGTTACATCAAAACAAAGAAAGTTATAGAGAATCTACAAACACAGATGTACTCAAGAGAAGTAGCAGAATCTAGTGATATCAATCTTACGGTTTTTGGCTCCGTTGGCGCATAATCCAATAGACCCAGAACTTTTTGAACAGATCTTGTACTTCACATATGGTTATCATACTCCGAATTTATGACTCACCAATGTGCCACCACCACAACACACCATCGCTGTGCGATTTCGCCACTTCATCTTCTCGTCACGCCACTTTAGTGTGCGTCGCGCCTTAATTGTTTATATGTTGGTCTTATAACCGGATATAGTTTGTTACACGTAATTTATGCCTTGGGGCGCGCCAAATTGGCTCGTTGTTACATAAACTGTATTACGATTATAAACTTTTTTTTTTGCTGTACTCTGCCTATATAATGATATAATTAACTATCTAGTACCTACTAATAGATAGCTAACTAGTTACAGTAGTTGGCTAACTGTCATAATATATCACACTAATAACGCCGCATTTGGTTAAACCTGCGCAACAACCATTTAGCTCGATGCTCACGGCCTTATCATATTATATTTTAATATATTATGATAACTGTACGAACCTGTATTTTTAACGTTGTTACCACGCATAAAAATATTTATCAGACAGATATTCTCTTTTCGAATTTGGTTTGAAGGCATGGGTTTGAAAATCAAAAGTCGATGTTGTGTGTTTATGATAATATGGTGTATAGGGTAATATGGGTGAAAGTTTATGATATATTCTTCGTAAATTGAACGAAACTCGAATCGATTTTACTAAAAATCTTTGTAGATCATCGGTGGATTGTGATAAAAATAAACAAAAAATCAGCGTGTACTTGAAATGCATGTTGAAAGTAATTTATTATTTTAATTTACCGGTATAATAAAACAAAATAAATAAAAATAAAATAGTTAAAATAATAATAATGATCATCTTCATTTGCTAGTAGTAGAAATGTTAAATAGTAGAATAGATTAATAATGAAACTACTAGCTTTGCTGAGCACTAAGGTAAAACTTTTTATCGTAGAGCAAGTTTTGATGTTGATTAAAGGAATGTCAATATATTTTATCCTAAGATTATAAGAGTTGGTATTATTATATTTAAATAACTTAGATTTATACTTAGACATATTGCTTGTTTTTTATAAAGATCTCCAATATTTAGTACCCGGTATAGTTTCAATAGTGCATTTGAAGGAAAAGATTTCGATTTATTTAAAATAATTTTTATTATGTTCTTTTGTGCTGTTGATAAATTATATTTTAAGGTAGAATTACAGCTTCCCCGTGCGATTATTCCGTAGTGTATTAGATTTTGGACCATTGCAAAGTATGTTATTTTAAGGTAGTTTTTATTTAATATTTTTTTTGCAATAAGGAAAAAGTGTGTTAGTTGTCTCAGTTTTATTATTAAATTATTACATAGAAATGTGAGTATTCCATTATAGATTTTGGTCAATAAATACTCTTAGGTGTTTAACGGATGAGTGTATAATTTTGGACATGAGCATGACGCCGCGTTGTAATTATTTTTATGTATGGTCAAATTAATTTTATTCGGCGCATTTATTAAATCATTAATAAAAGCAACACATTTGGATTTATCAAAATTTATATTTAGTTTATTATTTGAAAACCAATTATCAAGTAGTGAAATATAAGATTCGTTTATTTTTGCATATTTAATTCTCAATTAGAACTAGATACTATAATTGCAGTGTCCTCCACATACGAGTAGATTTTTCCGTTTAACGGAAGTCTACTTAGTGCAGTAAGTACATAATATATAAAATTGGGGACACTACTGTACTCTGAAGGACTCTTCTATTTATATTTCCTACTTCACTTAGGGTATTATCTATTTTGACTTGTTGGGCCCTATCTTCTAGATACGATTTAAAAACTGCAAGAGCTTACCCAGTGATACCAAAAGAGTTTAAGCTATCTAGTAGTATTGTATGTGATATGCTATCGAAGGCTTTGCTGAGATTTAGAAATATTTCAATAGTTTTATTATGATTATCTAAATTGTCATATATATCTTTAGTTAGGTTTGCTAGAGCATCTCCCGTACCTAAAGCTTTTCTAAAACCATACCATGTGAGTTGGGTAACAAATTATTTTCTTCTAAATAATTTATTTGTCTGGTTTTAATAGTTTTTTCAAATATTTTAGAAAATACATTCAATAAACTAATTGACCTAAAATTATTTATGTCAGTTTTTAAACCTTTACCTTTGTATATAGGCGAAACTAATGCATTTTTGAAGGAGTCTGGGATAATTCTTTCTTTTAGTATTTGATTAAAAATTACAAAATATATATGTCCATAATACATTGTATTCCTCGGCATTCCTCGACTGACATCACATTTTCAAAACAAATATGCACTATAATTAATATTAATATAATAAAAGCGCGCAGGAGCAGGGTGGAAAATGATGAAGGCCGCGCGTTTTATTGTAATAATATTTTAGTGGTGCGTCAGCAAAATAACACCTCTCTATTCGAGGGAAAAAAATATTCGTTTCTGAATAAACCGGTCGGGATTAATAACACACACACAAACACATACAATTATAATCGTATACTATCATTATACTTATATGCATATACCGACTAATCGAATTCTAGGTAACGTGATTATTATCGTTGGTTTGTTTTTTTTTAACGATGATGTCGTTGTTTTACGGTTTTATTTAGATTTTAGTTGTGTCGCCGCGGCCGGTGTCCTATTATAATTAATAGGCGATGAGTTAATTAGAATTAAGAATTATTTAACGATTCTATGATGATAAGAAAAAACGGAAAACAAATTCACTTAAAATCCTCTAAGATAATTGCTGGTTCATGATAAAAAAATCACTCATTATATATATTCATTTTTATGTCAAAATGAGAAGATATTGAAACGAGTTGCGAGTATCGTTGAAGTAAATTTTAATACAACAAAGATTTTTCCGAGAACATCCGTCTGATAATTTATTCGAGATTTATTTGAACTATACGTTTTTTCTACTTTCAATTCCAACAATTGAACAAACAAATTATTATCTGCAGTGTATTCGGTTTTTAATGGGAAGAGATATGGATTTTTTTGCAGGTGACGTCATCGTGAATAAGTAATATTTCATGTATTTTATTGAATAATATTCCCGTGAAAATTAAATAGGTATAGGTATATTAAATAAAACATTGCTGCAAATATACCTAAAGGTAATGCTTAGTATAAATACCATGCTCCAAGCTGCTTAAAACCGCTCTCGTAAAATCGTAAAACCACGAATTTATTACCACGACTGAGAAAGATCATAATACGCATAAGTACCAAAATTCTACCACCGCGCTTGCAAATTTATACTTTAATTAATATTTTAGTGCAACAATATTCGTAATGCAGGTTATTCCTCTTTTCTATCTTCTGCATTATTAATAATTTTGTAAATTCATAATGCCAATAAGAATTTTAACGTTCCATAGAATATCTGTAAAGGTTTTTTTTTAGTATTCTATGATTTTGTATTATACCATGGGCGTGCTTAGATGGGGGAGGAGTTAAGGGTTTTAACTATCCCTTAATATATAGTATTACAATATTCAATTATTATTCTATGTATTTCTACTTTCTTCATTGTAGATTCTGAGTTGTAGTGAATAATGTATTGGTTTTACTAAGATGTTTTTTTTTATTTTTATTTTTTTTTTTTACTGTGCACAAAAATTCTACCAGAAATATTGCTCAGTTATTTACGCATGGCACCATTTCTGAAATAAAATGTTATCTAGATGGTACTTTTAAGAGGTCATTTTTCGATTTTCCAAGCAGTTTTCATTATATGTGGGAAAAACCAGTATAAAACGTAAGAAAAACGGAAAATTTACAAAACTAACACTTATTATTTTTCAATTGTGTTATTTGTTATAATTCAACTAAAAATATTCCTAAAGACTTAAAATTTGGACAGACAACGTATATTCGCCTTTTTAAGACATGGTAAGATTTTCGAATCATTTAAGCCATTTTTAAGCTTTTTATAAAAAATTTTATATTTTTATTGAAATTCGGTTAAAAATATTCGTATCGATTCTATGGACATAAAATTTGTATTGCCTTTTCAAAACGTAGTAAAATGTTCTAAAAATGTAAGCCATTTTTGAGACATTTAAATTTTGCGAGTTTTTACGTAATTTTTATTCAGTAGGTACTCTGTGGTAAAATGGTTAGGCTTAAGAAATGCTTGAAAATTTTACAGGAGGTTCATTAAGAGTCTTACTTTTTGGTCAAAAAATTTGAGTTTAATATAGTTTTTTTTTTTTTTATAAAAGAACTTTAATTTCAAATTTTGACGAAAATTGTTGAGTAAAAAATGATGTGGAATAAAACTAATTTTTCATTTTTTTTTTTGAACATATGAATTTTGCCGATTTAAGAACTTTGGTGAAGTCAAAATTAAGCTGACTGACTTTTTTTTTGAAATTATAGCTTTTTGAAGTTCTGATATTATGTAGATATTATGTCATGTTAATTGACTAAATTGTCATTTCTATAGTGTGTTTGTCGTAGCAGAATGGTAACATACATACCTAGTTTCTTCTTAGGGTTTGTGAGTTCAAACCCGTGTTTCGTAAAAAATTGTTTGCACTTATTTTTCCCTTTTAACTAAATAGGGAAAAAACAAATACATTTTAAGTGTACCTAGAGACCTAGCTATCGCTCGCTCGGACTATTTTAATCGACAAATACCCCTTGATTTGTTGTATAAACTTTTCCACCAGAAATCTTGCTCCGATGTTTCAAGTGTAGTATTTTTTCGAAAAGGACTTTAGGAATTTTTTTTTTCAAGCTAAATTTTAGTTGTAAAATAATTTTTTTAATGAATAAAACAATAACTTAACATTATAACATAATAATTTCGAATTTTTTTTTAAATTATTGCTGCTGATCACAAACTAAAATACGATCTCAGTTTGTAAACAACATCAAAGTATTCTCAGCTAGAGAGAAAGCGGACTATGCTGGAGTAGTATTTTTCTCTTACATATTCCGAAGAGCGATTGCTTATGTGATGGCCTATTCCATGAACTTTAAGGACTGGCAACTGATTAACTGCCAATAATTGTTAACTACTTATTTTGTGTCACCTTTTAAAATAAAATCTACCAACAGCGCCACAATGTATTCACTGTCAATAGCCAGCTAAGTTAAGCATTATTTAGATAAAAAAGTTTATTAATATATTTATCCCCTAAATGTATTTTTACCGGGGACGTTTATTCACCTCCTCGGTAGGTTATTTCGTGAATGTTTTTACCACGTATGCACGTAAGAAACCAAATAGTTTATTTATTATATATACTATGATAGTTTTTTGTGGAGAGAGGGATTGGGAACGTTAAAATTGAATATCGTAAAATTATACTGAGTATACTGCCAATCCTGCTATCGGATTTAAAGTGGGACTAAAGGTATTACGGAAATATTAAAGGCATTTCGCCGTAGTTTATTTATTAAAACAATACTACGGAGCATAACCTAATCGACTTAACAGTATCAAGTTTAAATAATTTCGGATGCCATTGTATTTAAAGCATAGTCGAAACAATAATAAATAATACTTCGCTAAAATAACCGGCAGGGAAGCCATCTCTAAATAAGAAATGTGTTGCGCGTGTATTTTCAATAATAAAACAAAAAAAAACTTAATTGTTATAATATTATTATTGCAAAACTGTTTGTCTATCATAAGCATTATGCTTATGAAAATTTCTTCACCTTTTTAAACTAGTCTAATAACAAATAATAATCCAAAAAAATGTATTGCAATATTTTTTTACTTTTTTTAACATTGTTTGTTTAACACTTCATTTTCGTTAAAACAAAAGCACTTTTTTGTACACTGTGTAGGTTGTTTAAGAACTTAATTTTTGAGCGCATCAATGTGTCAAAAATGGTTTATTGTTGTGTACAGATATAAATTATGTAACTTAATCCTAACTTTCCACATACAACAGTAGCTCACACATCAGCAGTATCAGTTTTTGTTTTAGTGACCTAGTTAAAAATTTGTTTTTATTTTTTTTAATTCTACATCGCATACATATATTACATACAATATAATTGCCAATATTGATAATTATTGCAAACATTTTTTTCACCGGAAAAATTCTCTATTATACATACATAACATTTTACATTTTTTTGCGTGTGGTCAGGCCGCATAGTTTGTATTTCAATAAAATAAAAATTATACACGAGTTACCTACGTTGGAAATATTTTGTTAATATGAAAATAGAATATATAATATTTACGCAGTTATTTAAAGTGTACTAAATGAATACAACGATAATTTCTCGAGTTTTCAAAAAAAAAAAAATGCCTAATGTAAATTATCAATTTTTTTTTTAAGAGGTTTATTGTAATTTGTATTTGTGTGATAAAAAAAGTCAATCATCTTTTTTGAAAGAAAATATTGTTATATTGACTAGATCGTACTTTAAGAAGGTCATTTTTGATTTTCCAAGCAGTTTTCATAATATCAGGAAAACTCAGGATAACCGTGAAAAAACGGAAAAATTTATGAAAATAATGCTTTTATTATTTCAAATTTTGTTTTTTATGTAATTCAGTTAAAAATATTCATACTTATTCGTAGATTGAAATTTGGACAGAAAACTTATATTTGTCTTTTCTTGAAGTTGCCAAAATGTTGCGCAATTTATAGACATTTTAATTTTGCGAGTTTTGTACGTAATTTTTATTCGGTAAATGCTCTGTAGATAAAATTGCTGGACCAAACAGAAATACTTGAGAATTTAACATGAAGTCCATTAAAAGTCGTACTTTAATTTGTGGTAAAATACAAGTTTTAAGCAAAGACTAATTGGCTTATAAGCTTTAAATATTCATCGAAATGACAACATTAACATAGAAAATATTGTTGATCAAACCGCTTGCAAAACGCTGCTTAAAAAAAAAGTATTTTGGACTTGGTCATCTAACTTTTATTATTATTATTATTTTTGTAATTTTTACTATCATTATTTTAACTGTTATTTATTCAATGTGAAAAAAATAAATTTAACTTTTAAATTGTACTGTTTTACTGCATTTGTACAATATATCTGTTGTCTTCTAAGTTAGCATAAGTTGAAATGGCATCAGATATACATTTTTTAAGTTTTTGTTGACCAAAGCGGTGGCATTCAAGGGTAAAAATAAAGTATGTAATAAATAAAAAAATAAGTAAATAATATATACCACAGTTGAATAAATGAATATACATAGGAATAAAATCAAAATGAAAACAATTATAAAAAAGACGTTCTAGGATAATGGAGACGGGTGCAGCCACTGCTATAGATAATTTAATGTTAAGCAATAAAAAACCATTGCTTACGATAAAACGATTCTGAGAGATGTTTAGTTGATATTGATGCTTTGTCAACAATATATATGTTATTTTAAAGTAAAATAATTAAATAGGCTTTATATATTTTCCTTAATAATATTTGTTTCGTGTATTACCGATTTTCCCAGTTTTTCCAGGTTTCCCCATGTTTTATCCCGCTTTTTCACATTTACTGGGAAAACTCTTGAAAAAATCGAAAAATTACCTCTCTAAAAAACTTAGCTATTGAAATTTCTTTTTAGAAAAATTGCTATCATTAAAAGTTGAAGCAAAAGTACTGGTAGAAAATTGTTCGCTGCCCTTTCTCCGTTGAATTGATCCGAAGACACCCCTAAGCAATACTGTTAATCGAGTTTCGTTCTGAATCGTTTTTTGTTGGAAATACTTAAATTTACTTAGATACAGATATATATTAAGTTTCCCTCAATATTCTACCTTCCTAACTTCTTATCTATATCAGTGGTCCACCTATCGTGCAAAATGTGTCATTTTTTTTTTATTAATCATTAATATCAAATTTAATTATTTTGCCCCCTCAATAATCAAGTTCTGGAAACGATTACTATATAGTAGGTTATTATGTATTTTTGGCAATCTGTTCGATTTTCATTTTGGATTCTGAGTATAGCGGTTTTACAAAGATGTTATTTTTTTTTTTTTTTATACTGTGTACAAATATTTTATCAGAAATCTTGCTCTGATGTATACATGTGGTGGCACCATTTTTGAAAGTGAATGTCGTCCAGATGGTCCTTTTAAGAAGTCATTTTTTGATTTTCGTAATAAGTGGGAAAAACTAGGATAAAACTAAGAGAAACGGGAAATTTATGAAAATAGTGCTTTTATTTTTTTTAAATTTTGTTATTTATTGTGATTCAGTTCAAAATATTCGGAGAGACTTGAAATTAGGATAAAAAACTTATATTCGCCTTTTTTTAGATGTGATAAAATTTTCAAAACATTTAAGCCATCTTTGAACTATTTATAAACATTTAAATTTTGCGAGTTTTGAACGTAATTTATATTCAGTACGTAGTCTGTGGTAAAATTGTTAGGCTTAACAGAAATACCTAGAAATTTAATAGGAGGTTCATTAAGAGTCTTAGTGGTAAAAAAATAAAATGTGTTTAATGTAGTATTTTTTTTTATGAAGGAATTTTCATATAAAATTTTGACGGAAATCGTTTGAGTAAAAAATTATGTGGAACAAATTTAATTTTTAAATTTTGTTTTATGAACATATAATTATTGTCGATTTAAGAACGATGGTTAAGTCAGAATTTTCGAAATTATAGCTTTTTGAAGTGCCGATATTATGCGGATGTAATATGTCATGTTAAATAATTCTATATTGTCTATTTTTAGGTTATACATACCTAGTTTCATACTAGGGGTCAAGAGATCAAACCATGTAATGTTTGCACTCTTTTTTCTCTTTCACCTAAACAGGGAAAAACAAATGTCTTTTGGGTGTACCTAGCTAGGGTCTTGTTTTCTCAACAAATGTGGAAAACCGAAACTGAGGAAAAACCGGAAAATCTGTACAATATTATACAAATATTATTAAAAAAAATATATAATGTCTATTTAACTATTTTACCATAATAAAACACATATATTGTTAACAAGGCATCACTATTAACTGAACTGCGCTTAGAATCGTTTTTTTGTTAGCAATGTTTTATCGTTGCTTACAGATATACATTAAATTATCTATAGCAGTGGCTGCACCCATTTCCATTATCTTAGGATGTCTTTTTTTTATTATAATTCCGTTAAAATTGCCTGTACCTCTTAAATATATATTATTTATCGATAATAATTTTATTATTAACAGTCTATAGTGGCTCCACTGTGTGACATTGAAAACTGACAAAAATAACACTCAAATTGAAATATTTTTTCATGTTATTATAATAAATAATTTTTAAAGAAGTTCATCTTGCATTTAAAACTGGTTTCAAATACGCAGTGAAGCCTTAATTGACCTATAGTTGCAGTACTCGAAACATTAGTCCCTTGTTCATCATAATAATCTAATAACTTATTCGCATCATCTGCTGACAACTGTAAACGCATGTACTTCTCCTGGTACCATTTTCTGGATTTTTAATATAAATTTGGTAATTCTGCTTGGAAGATCAAAAGCTTTATAGAAGCTATACAAGGTATAGCTCTTATAAAGTTTACAAAGCTCTTATAAACTTTATACAACGTTTTTAATTTTCTTGAATCTTTAAGGAAGTAATTTTTTGCAAATTTCTCGCCCATTTTCTGAAAAGGAAGAAAAATGACAAATCAAACACCTCTTGATTCGCACAGAATAAGCAATAATATTACCAATTTTTGAAATTTTCATGTATTTTGTTATGGCTTCTATTTGATCGTTTACCGATATAAAATGTTCGAAACATTTTAAATAAATAACTCAAGTCTTAAAAAGTTTTTGAACCACATCTAGAAAGGGCTGATATTAATATTCGGTTGAAGTTTAAGGTTTATATGATTTAATGATTATTTTTAATGAATCGCAAAAAAAAAACAAAATTAAAAAGAACCTTAATTTTTTTTTCTGAAATATTTCTGTTTTTCAGATGTTTTTCCTTAATTCGCTATCAAATACCACATAACCATATCATATGGTTTAATTAAGAATCCTAGTCGAAATGTTATTAACAAGTAGAAAAGAAAAATACTACAAAATTTAAAACTAATTTTCCCCTTCTTTTGATTTCAACTGCCCTGTGTGACAACCAAATCAAATAATATAATAATATGCCTTAAGTGTCGCAAAAATGTTAAGAAAAAAATTTGATAATATATCCAAATAAAAATGTAAATGTTCGAATATTATCCTTTCGTCTACATTCTATTATCATTTAAAATAGAACAGACGGTGATAGTAGAACACTGAGTCAAAAAAAAAAAAAAAAAAAAACGTCAAAACTTTGTATTTTATAGTGATGCATCTGCGTCAGTATCAAACTTCCATACAATACACTGTTATATAATATGTAATATATCCCAGCGAGTTAACGGAGTAAAGTTTTTTTTTGGTTTATTCGGAAAAACTTTAAACTTTAGTGACAGCAGTATATATAATATACATACGCCATGTACGATTTGACTTGTTCAAATAAAACTGCCGAGCAGACAAATTTAATAATTTATAACAATTTTATTTTCATCTCGAAGAGCAAAAAAAAAAATGGTACCGTATGATGCCCGATTCCATTTAAATCCTTTATTTATAAATACATAATGTGTATTACAGTCGGACTTGGTTAATTTGAAGTTGAAGAGACTGGCAGAGAAGTTCGAGTTGTCCAAGAATCCGAGATATCGAATTTCCATTTTATTTTTGTTCATCTTAATGCTGACATCACGAATGAATATCTTAAAATTGTAAACATGTCCCGTTGAAACGTAACGAAGCATTAAAGTGTATAATATGGATAACGTATATTTTCATTTATATGCTGAGATATATAGTAATGTTCTCTTTTGAAACAGGGTATACCTATGTAGGTTGTAAACAATATGATTTTAAATGAAATCATATTTTACATTCACTATCTTTTTTTTTTTTTTAGCGAGGGTATATAAGGCTCACTTAAGAAATAACGACCTATTTTCTTCATAGCACACCTTGCGAAAAAAATCATGTGCATGCCTATGCGAGAATAATTGTGTATATTTATACGAATCACATAAAATGTTTTGAGTGGAGAAATAAATAATTTATAAAGAGGAAATCGAAAATCAAATAATAAACTGTTAAATTAAATTATTTTAATATGGTGCTAATAATTATAATAATTTGGGATAAATTAATAAAGTAACGCGATTATACATTTTGTGAACGCAAAAAGCCTAATACATTTTTAATGAATTTCTAGGGATGTTACATTACTCACCATTTATTTCGTAACATTGTGTGGCTCTGTATTATATTCAGGAAACGTTTGGATTATTTTATTTCATCTAGTCGTTCGAAGGTTACTAATATATCCGGGATTTGAGACTTTACCGAATATATGGGCGTTGACTTTAGCTCAGTATGCCTTTCACGATGAGTAAGCTTCTAAATCGCATCAGATTATCTTTTATAAGAACGCTCTGTTTTTTTATTTTGTTATTAAAATGCTGTTGCCTCTCTAGACGTTTAGATATTATTTTTTAATATAATTATAAAATAATATTGTCCTCGCGAAGCTATACGTCCTTTAACATTTAAAGGTAATTGGTTATATAATTCAAACAAATATATATAAAATAATGGCATTTTTTTATTTTTCTTCTTTTTTTTTTTCGTTAACTTTGTTTTAAATGATTTTCTGGTTAGGTGAAACATAAAATAATAATAATATCTTCCTATAGTAAAGTCAATTCAATTTTTTTTTCAAAGTTCGAAGTTTTTGAACCATTATTGCATTGTATAAAATATTATCTGGTCGTATTTTGAAACTAAAAAAAAAAATACTGATCATGTTGGCTACAATAATTGAAGGGGACACTTAAAACGCTTATAAAAAACTACTGCATTTTGCTTGATCTATTTTTTACCAGTTACTTAGTGCCAGTTGCGAGTATTGCAAATATCTCAGGGGCCTTTTATATTTAAAAATTTCGCTCCTGTAAATATTTTTATTGACATTCATACGATAATGCCGTTAGACAGCCTATTGACTATATATCGTTTATTTTACAAATCACTCAAAAAAAATTCAACTAATTACTACTCCATAGATATCTAATACCGTAATTCCTACACTTAACTTTGCTTCTTTAAATGACGTCCCTGATTTCTCGTGTGCTTTAGGAGAGGCTAAAAAATATCCGAAAATATTTCATCCAAAAATAAAAAATAAATTTATTATGAAAGTATTTAATTAGAAGTATTGTTTTGAACTCCTATTGAACCTCGTATTAAATGTACATACGTTTCTGTTAGATCAAATGATATTATTACCATGAGACCAAAAAAATAAACAAAATATTCGTTAATTTAAAATGTTTATAAATAGCTCAAAAGTCGCTAGAATATTTTGAAAAATTGACACGCCTAGAAAAAAAATAATATGGTATTCAGTAAAAATCAGGTCTTTAAGATTATTTTTTAACCTGCAAGTAACAACAAAAATCAAAATAGAAAACAATAAGAAATTGATATTGCCATAAACCGCCCTTTTTTTTTTTAGTTTTCCTCAATTGTTATGAAAACTGTATTAAAAATCCAAATGATCTCAATGTACCAACTAGATTAAAAATTCTAAAAAAATGTTTTGTATCTTTTCTTGATTGAACCAAGATTTCTTGTAGAAAAGTTGTTCACTAACAGAAAAAAAGTACACATCCTTCCAGTGCCTCTTAAAAAACCAAGACAACATCTATGATGCTAAAATCATAAAAAAGGTACGATATCTCCAATAAAAACTTATCCGTTAAAAAAGAACCATATTTCCAAATAGATGATAATATGAGAACTCAGAAGACACGAAAAAAAGTTCCAGAACTTTCCCAAAAAAGTCAGCTTATCAAAATAGTTAAAATAGTTATGTGTGTATTGTACCCGAGTTTGTTTTTTAGGCATCGTTCAGAAACTGTTGATGTCACTGCCCAAATATTAAGAAACACAAATAAAAGAGCAGTTTTTCTCATTAAAGTAGGAATGAAGTAAGGTTCTGGACGAAACAACAGACTTGGCCATAATTTAGATTCATATAATATAGATTTAGACTACTTCAATAGGCTGACTTTTTTCTGGAGGAGGTCTGGGAATTGGGCTTTTTTTCATTTTTGTTAGGGAATATGCCTTGCGTTATTAAATTCTAAGCGAATTTAAAGAAAACATTCCGCTCAATGACACTAGCTGTGCATATAGAAAATATTTTATTTCTAAGAAACTTTGTTCGAATAGGGTAATTTGATAAAGTCGTACACGTGGGACGAGAACAGTATATTGGTGGAGAACTTTGGTTGACAAATTATTATTCTGTTTCTTAGAATGTATCCCGACGATTCTCGTAACTCTTGTATATTTATTACCGGGAATGTAAAAATTCGGTGTAATTGAATTTGTTTTATTTTTTTTGTTTTAATTTTCAACGGAGTCGCGGAATCGGAAATTATGAATTCGTTATTATAACTTATTAGTATTTTTTTTAACAAAATCAATATATTCACGATTTGTTTTATAACAAAATATATTTATACATATTTTGGTTTTGACGTTAAAAAATTATTTTCCGATTCGATTTTCCGAATGATTTTCATAATAATTGGAAAAAAAAAAACTGGAAAAAACGTAAAACAAAAACGAACACATTTACGACGTCAACAATTTCATTATTTACAATTTTTTCGATTTAGTTTTCTTACCAGAAATCTTATTTTGAAGTTCAAATGTAGCAGGGTTTCTAAGAGAAAATGTAGTTTAGTTAAATTCCAAAAAACCAAGAAACCAAAAAAAATAGAGCTGACTACTAGAGACGAGTGCCACCACTGTTGTAGGTGGGTAGTTTGAAAGTTGAGATACTTAAAATTATTTAATTTATATCTGTAACCAACGATAAACCATTTCTAACAGAAAATACTATTCAGAGCGAAATGTGAACAAAATTAAAAACAATGAAAACGGTATACCCTAGGTACGCCGTATATATTTGCCGTTTTGTCTATATTTTTTTTATTTTGAAGAACCATTAATTTAGACCCTTTTTTTTTGAGAGTGAATTCGGCTACATACTTTTAATTTTCAAGTAGCAACATACATTAAAAAAAACGGAATATTAGTTTAAATACATTTTAATACTAACACATTTTTCGATTTCAATCAACTCTACGATAAAAGAGCTAAGTCATTAATGAGATGGCGTTAGAGAAACGCGAATTAAGACGAAATTAAAAGATTAAATATCTCGTAAATATAGAGAGAGGAATATCTGTGATAAAGGTAATCAGATAGAGAAATAGATATTCGAGAGACTGCGAAAAGTAAATTAGGGCAATCGAAAATAATATATAGTGTTGGTAAATCAAAGAAAACTACTTTTAGTCCAGGTTAACGTGATTCGATTTTATATCATAAAATTACTAAAAATAAAAGCTGGTGCCATTGTTCTAGTTGGATTTAGATACTATTCTAAGCAAAGTTACACGAGTTTTATTTGAAATTCTACAATTTGTATTAAGTGTGTCAACACTTAAATTTAAATTAAATATATAAAAAAAAATTACATTACGATACGATGAACTTTGTTTTTTGGTCACTAAACACAAATTAATTTTGAATCTTGTGTAAAATTACAATAAAAAAAAACAATACTAAAAATAATAAATCTTTTATTGTTGTAAATTTAGTGGTTTAATTATTATGAAAATTGTTTAGAAAATCAAAAAATTATCTCGTCTTTGCAGCAACTAAATTTAAATTGCTACTCGTGTCATATTTTGATTGGAGAAAGATTTATGGTAGAAAAGTAGCTCATGGATTGGAATATAAAATCGCACACATAATTGACCAATAAATTCCCCTTACTTCGTTCAGAATCTAAATAAATATAGTTTTATATTTGTATTTTGATTAATGATTATGAATGTACTATTTCGGTATTAGATTTGTAAATCCTTTAATCTTAACCAATACCTTGCAAATCATCGTCATTGAGTGTTTTATATTAGTGTCTACTTTTTTTCGGGATTTATCAACAACTTATATTTCATTTTATCTCAGTGTGTGACGTGTGATTGAGTCACGAGATAAGTTCGCAAAGACCACTGTCCCAGACGGAACAATATTGAAATATTTGAAATTATATTCTATGATTTTTTTTTTTCTTTTACTGATCGGGCGTACTAAGAAAGAACTGACCTCTTTTCCCAAACATCATAGTGGAATAGAATAAAAAAAAGTATATATACCTTATATTTTTGAAATTTATAATTTCATATCTATTTTGATTTTTGAATAACTTTTTACGCTTTTTACACAAATATAATATCTATTATCTATTATTATTTTAAAATCATTATTCATTATTGTGTTTTATTGTATCTTATTGTTGTATTTAGATGTTCCGTCGTATTGGGGAGAACCTTTATCTACGTACCAGATGCCCAAAACGCAGTACGCAGAACCCGAAGATTCGGTCAGATTATACTGCGAGGGTTTTGTAGGTAAATTGAGTTATTCGGAAAAGAATTATGTTTATAAATAATTTTTCCGTTAGTATAAAATTTTAAACGAATTTCGAAATGTGTTTGTTCATATAGGTAATGTTGACCTTCCGGATGCTGTTAACAAGATAACGTGGAAGAAAATCGGTGGAAATCAAACGATAGAGTCCAACGAGAATTACAGAATTGAAAAAATCATTAGGTATGGTCAAAATAAATTATTTATGAAAAAAACAAAAATATATTTTCTTTGCGTTTTATTCTTATCGTTATTATTTTTATTTTCGCAGAGAAGATAACCAAGTTCTGGGAGAAATCCTATTTATAAAACATATTAAAGAAATGGACTTCGGGCAGTATATGTGTTCCATTAGTAATTCTGATGACCAAATGTTGCAACAATTTATAAACATTACAAAACCGGGTAAGTTTTCTTTTTTTCCAATAGTTTTGTGCTTGACTTAACTTGACATTACGATATGTAATTATTCTCATCGTTCTATATAATATTAACATTTCCCATCGAATTTATAACTAATTATCCGCATATTTGTAAATATTGTGTACGTTATACTCGATTTGAAAATTATGGCGATATTATAATCCTTGTATAGCGATAAGATACAAATACATTTTTTTTTTTATTTTCGGAAAAAACTTTTGGTTAGTACAAATTTTCAGAATTTTTTCATACAGTTCCTTAAAAATAAGGAATTTCTACCCGATACTTAACAATAAACATATATTTGAAATAGATCCTATTTTTGAAAAATTATTATTTAAGTATGGGTACAGATAGAATTATAGTTTTAAATAACAATATATTACGAAATTTAAAATCAATAATTACCTAATTTTTACTCGAGTGCACGCGAAAAAATTGGGAACTATAGTCTGTAATTATTATTGTCGACCAAATAATTTTATTATGGTGTGCCGATTTTTAATACCTATCTATTCAAAATGATTTAAATTGAGTTTTATACATAAATATAATAATAATGATAAATTATTTATATCAGTGCCGTAGCCAGGAGGCACTAAGGGCACGTGTCCTCCACCTCAAAAATGTTTCTACCTATTGTACTAGTATATATCAGAGATTTCAAATCCGTGACACACGTCTCCATGCCTTTATTGGGATGAGCGTCGAATGGCGTATCGTGTTCTGCACTGACTAAGATCAGTCATTCAATCACGTACCGAGACCGTAAGGCGGCCAGAGTACGTGGATTTAGTGTAGGTTCTGTTTGAAGATACAGCGTATTATGAATAAATAAAACCACGTTTTATTTTTTTATGGTAATCAGGTAATTTATTAATTATGAGAGAAAAACAACGAATGTAAGTTGGACGAAGGAATGAAAGCCTCACCAAATGAACATAAAAATATATATGTAATTACAAAAAGGTCCCAACCTCTAATTCCATGGGCTCGCGGCGTCAGACCTTTTAGATGCGCAGGGTTTCGTCAAAGGGCGGGTTCTGGTCCACCCCAGGCAATTGTGTGTTACATTAGTAGGTACAATTAAAATTGTTTTTTTTTTATTTATTCATGGTATAATTTAAGCGTAACGATAATTATACAAAAAAACCTGATCAAGTTGAAATTCAACATATAATATACTTAGAGGAAAGTGGAGCTAGTTGATATAAAGATAATTTGTTCCATTTAAATTTAAAAAAAAGTATCGGTGGTAACACTGCGTAATCAAACTGGTGATAAGATAAACATATATTACCTCAATATTTTCTGTTTCTGTTATCGTAATCAATATAATGATTTTAGTGATAATCGTACCTAAAACCTACATTTCATGATTTATATCGAATCAAATAAAATAAATTGTTTTAAAGGTTAGTTCTTTTATGTTTATTTAATTGGTTGTTTAGCTTTTGACGTACAATTTCATCATATAATGAGTGATTTAAAACAAGTTGATAAAGTGATAAGATAAGTTATACTAACAAGTGTTCGTTAAGGCTAGTTGTTGCATTTATATCGGGGCACGTTTTTACTGATAAATCATCAGTATAAAAAGTTTTTTTTTTGTACAATTTAAAATTGATGTTATTTAATATTTATTCTTGATCATTTATTTGGATTAAACAATTTATCAATTATACAATTTTTGTGTAAATCCAAATTTTGAGAAAATATTTATATTTAACAGTATTTAAATTGGTATGTAATGTTGTTTATAATGATACAACCTTACAAAATAAAAAAATAAAAAATAGTTTTATTATTTAATTTTGTTTAATAATATTAAATTTATAATTTTAAAATATTGTAACAAATTTCCCTCTGTTTGTGTCATCATACCCCACCCGAGAACAATTTGTTACAAAATAAGTTTGTGAGTTTAACTTAAATTTTTGGAAAAACTATTTATTTGTAAAAAATAATTTTCATAAACAAATTATGCTTGTTATGTTACTAATGGGTCATTTAATTTTCAGAAAAATATAATTAAATTAATGAGTTAAAAATAATTGTTTGAATTTTATATTAACTAGCCCCACCCTCCTCTACAAGTCTATTTATCCATGCCTCCATACCATTCCCGTGTTGTTGGGGTCTCGGGAGGAATTTACGAAATGCTTACTCCGTGGCTGAGGGGGGGGGGAGTTTGACAGAGAATCAATTTAAATATAAAATAAAAATATAAACCTAAACTAAAAAAAAAAATCGATGCGCAGGCCTTTTGTTTTAAAAACTTCGTGATCACGGGCACGGGAAGACGGGTATAATTTTTTTTGATCACCGGCGATGATTGGCACTGTTTTAATTGCGCATATACGGTGATTGCGCGAACGTCCGTTGTCGTCTGTCGATGGTTGTCCGCGTGTTTTAGTGATTATGAGCCGGCCACTATATAATGAACGCGGTTGGATTTCTCACGCGGAGTATTCGGTATAAATCGATGTGCTAGTCCACTAAAATGTAACAAATATTCGACAAAATAGACAGAATATCATCAAATGGGAGTGCGTAAATAAAGCCGAAAATATTTTAACCGACAAATATTTTGTCAGAACCGTATATTCGAGCCGGCACTCCGATTAAGGATAATATAGATATAGACACAGTCTTAGAAGATGAGGTCAGATTACGTTCTCACCACCAGTCCACTGCCAAAGTTCCGTTTATCTGTCAGCTTAAATACTACCGGCTAAAATACTCGCAAAATATTTATCGGCTAAAATGTGGGTTTGGCTGAAATACATATTATTATTAATAGTGAAAAAGTCATTAATTTGAATAACTGTATGAGTAAAAATGCCTTTTTTGGTATGGATATCTAATTTTAGTATACAAATGTTTTTACATAATATTTGAGTACATATATTCTATGAGAGAAAATATATAGTACAATCAAATTTAGAGAAAAGCTACTGTTCAGTTTTGAGTAAGGTGCGGGAAGGGTGTGTGTTTAATATGATAACATACCTATATATTTTGTAATGCCATGTGTAGGGTTATACAAATCCGAACCGCAATAATCCGAAATCTTATGTTCCGGAACACAATAATCCGAAACGAGAAATTCCAAACCGCAAAAATCCGTGTAATATTCCAGACAAATGTTTATGGTTCCTAGAATAAAATACTAGTAGTTAGTAATAATATTCGATGCTTATGATGGTTTATGGTTTTTTTTTTTTTTACCATAGATAATAATAATCTCTATGTAATGTGACAAACGTCACAGACGCCGTTAGGAAATTCGAAAAAGTAAAATGGGCAAAAAAATCGGGGAAAGTAAACGCTTCGGATCTAAGGAAGTTAAGAAAAGAGAAAATACCAGCGGAATAAATGTGGCGTATCAGTGAAAAGACTAAAGGTTACCGTATTAGGAACGTTAAGAAATCTTAAGAAGTTATTTTGTCAAAGGACAAAAGATAATTTGGGAAAATATATATGTATATATATATATATCTTCATCTCCCTTCTTCTAATCTAACCGGTGTTATAGGCAATACTCCCAAACATTGTTACTCCATTAGTAAAAATGTTCATGGAATCAGATTTTGCTTGCCTAAACGGCAAATCTTACTCCCGTTTATTTTTAATCCTCCAGTTGTATTGGTCGTATTTTATGTCCATTGTTACAAAATAGAAGAGCATCATTCAAAAGCCACGCCCCATGCCACCACATAAATAATTAACTAATAAATGATCTTACCCAAACTTAATAGTAAAATTTCTCGACAATGAATTGACAAAAATTAAAATGTCAATGCTACAATGCATTAAATTAATACTCGATCTATTTATGGAATTTTTAATATAATTTGATAATCAAAAATAGGTAGTGGTTTAACCTTCAAAAGTACAGGTAACAAAATGTAATATTAAAGAATTTTTTTATTAAATAAATAAGTGTCTCATCGAAAATTTGATCGTATCATGATATATGAATAACCCTGATTATTAATTATTGTATGGTAATAAAAAATATGAGGGCTTATAAAATATCAAGTTAAAATATCAGACCACGAGAAGTGAACGGGAATCGTGTTTCATTTTCACACATAATGCATATAGGTAGATACCTAATTAAATAATAATGATAATTTAATAGTTGGTTACCATTATAGTATAATATTATTGAAAAACAATTACTAAACATTTTCAGGAAATAAGAATTTTCATAGAATGTTACTCCGCCGACCAATATAACTGGTGCATTAAAAATAAACGGGTGTAAGATTTGCAGGTTAGTTCGGGAAAATCTAATTCCCCGAATTAAAATATTTCGGGATAAAGAAACAATGTAATATTAATATTATTCAATCAATATGAATGCGAATTAATGAACCGAAAAACTATTATAATGTTCAGAAAAGTGAATAAGTTTTGCATGACGTTGTCATTCTTGTTATTGTGGTAATACCCGTAATCCTTAACTTTGTGTTAATGTCATAAGGTGTACAATGTCGATGAATGATTATTTTATTTTAGATTTTCTTTAAATTTTTAAAACGAACGGAGGAAATTGTGTTTTAGACAACTTGTCATAGTATACAACAACATATAATTAAGTAAACCAGAATACAATGTTAATTAATGATAAAATAAATTAAAATATAGTTGTAGTAAATATTATAATATTATATTAAAGACGTTATTGAAAACTACAAATTTATCATTCAATAACAAAATAACGTTTCAGACTTTATATTATTTTACAACAACCCGAAAATTAAATATTAAAATATGACAATGTATTGGCCTTGGCGATGTAAAAAATGTTTAATTACTGAATGCAATTTCAAGTAGCTGTTATTTATTATTTCTTAGAAAATACATTTTTCGTTTAGTAAAAATACTCTAGTTTTGTCATATCTCAAAAGATGCGTATTGTCCGTTTGATAGAACTTTATTTGTACGATTTTTTGGAGATTCCTCGCAGCTTTTTCTAAACGACAATACAGACTGTCCCACGAAGATATACCCTTTGAATATCTCCAGAGATAATAGAGATAATCAAACTCTGTTTTTTTTTCATATTACTCACAGGAAAGAGAACTACAAATATTTAATAAACATTTATATTTTTTAATTTTTTTTTAACAAAAAAAACAATTCAAAGGGTATAACTTCGTAGGGCAGCCTGTATATCACTTTTATTTTTGAGTTACCTTGGATACAAAAGAGACCAATACAAGACTATTAATTCTTTAATTTTATGATTCAGCGATATCAGAATATATAAATACTTTTAATCTGAATAAAACCTAAAAAATAATAAATTTACATGTTAAATATAATCGCAATGCAAACTGTTAATAGTGAAGTGGAATTAATTCCTACCTACTATCAAGTATAGGTATTGGGTACACTAAAAAAAGCATAGTACCTATTTTCAATAGATTTCAAAACTTCAAAAGAATCAACATTCATTAACTTCTCATGTATAATCTATTATATTCTATGGACTTGCACTCTGCAGGTCTATTAGTCCTAATCACAGATAGATAAAACAACTAGACAGCTGACTATGTGTATCATGCTATACAAACCGATGAAACTGGCCGCCATATGCCAACAGGGCAATGTTTACGTTTGAAATGTAGTGATAATAACGATAACAAACCAATAATGGTTCCGATAACGGATTGCTTGTTTTGTTCGTTTCATATAATAATATCCTCATATTAGGTAGTAAGTACTATAATTAATATTATAATATAATTATATTTATTATACTACTATAATTAATATAATATAATTATATTTATATAAAACAATAATGGTGTCATGTTCTGTTCATAGATGTGTGAACAAGAGATAAAAAAAATGGTAAAATTCACTTTTACACGTATAAAAAAATCAAAACCCGTAATATTTTTATGTTATAAAAATGGTTTTTATTTTTGGTTTTCCTTTGAAGGATAATATTAGAAATGTATAATGGCCCAAAGTGTGCCAAAAAGGATTCATTTCTATAAAATTGAGTGTCCTTTGTAGTAAATATCTTTTACTATTAGACTTTAAAACTAACTTAGGATGAAATTACAGGTTGTATTTAAAAGATTCAGCGATTCCATCTATTTCCCCTAGCTCAACATTTGAAAAAATACATCTTAAATGTAATAAACTTGAAACAGTTGAAACACGTTTAGATCTTTCAACTGTTACTAAAAATAATTTTAAATCTCCGATGAAAAATGATTCCCTAACAAATGTTGATACAATATCTGTGTTGTCTACTCCATCTAAAAATCAATTATTTTCTTTCACAAAATGTAAACGTATTGAACCAGATACACTAAGGAAATTACAGTTAAAAAAATAATTTAATTATTAAAACAAAGTCTCTCACGTAAAAATAATAAAATAAAAAACTTTAAAGATTATTGATAAATCTACATTCAAAGGGATTACTTGGGGACCAATGTGAAAGTTTATAAAGCGATAAGTTTAATAGTACCTATGTCAAAAGTTTTCTTAATGAATTTAGAAATAAAGGTTAAAAGTCAATTCGCTGCCACTATTATTTGCCTAGAGCACTTAAGTATTGCAGGTGATAGCTTTATTAGCTTTATAGTTTTATCTTTAATAATATATTATTACCAGGACTAGGATTTGCAACAGCATGTTTTTTTTGTGACATCTGATTATTGATTTTGTCAGTAATTTTCACGAATCACCTCATGATGAGATAAGTGGCGGTGTTTTTATTTTGCATGTTTTTGCATATTTCGATTATAAGAATGCGAAAAATGCATGTTTCACGGTATATTTCGTAATTAATATTTCATATTTAATTCTAGCCCTGCTGATTAATGTATAAAACTTGATTTTTTGTCAAACATAAATTTTATTTTTATAAATACGATTCTATGGTACAATAGGTATGCGTATGTATAAAAGATTGAATAGTTTGACGGAGAAAGACTTCATAAAAGTCTACAGATTATAATAAATGCTAGGAATCGACTTCTTGAGTGCAACGGAAGAGTCGCAGATAAAGTTAAAAACAAAATATCTCTGGTTTTACAAAAAAATAAAGGATTTAAAACTCTATAATCAATAAATAGAATATTAAATGGCGAATCGTAATAATTTATTACCAATATATATATATTTAAGACTTTCAAGTCTATTCGTAATTGGACATCTATTATAATTAGGGAACCAGTTAAAAACATTGTTTACTTACTAATATCATTCAGTCGAATGAAGCATATCCAGCCTATTACTTTTGATCGATACATTTTCATTTTTTCAAATATTTTACAAAACTCCTTAAAATCTCGTGTATGGGGATTGCTTGTGAATAATTCAATCTTGTAAAATATTTATATTGATGTTTTTGTTATCAGTATGTATAACAAATACATAAAGATACGATGTATAATGTATAATATTATAACAGGTAGGTACCAAAGTTATTCTATAATATATATATATATATATATAAATAATAAATTATGTTTAGTATTTTACTTTTTCGGGGAAAAACGCCTTTGGATATAAAATAGGTAATATACAATTCCACTCCTAAAAATTATTGGCCCATCTGGATAAAAAGTCCCGGCGCCAATACTGCGTAACATAATCGATAATATTTATAATAACGTACGACTAAAGTTTATTATATCTGAAAATGGTTTGATCAAATATGACTATTATATTAAATTGTAAACTAAGCTTAATATAATATTATAGAAAATCGTTAATATATATATTAATCTCTATGTATACATATTTATATATAGTATATAATATTTGGATAGTTATTTGCGTTAATTAAACTTTCCGAAAGGAACAACATTGCACCGTATAATATAATAATATTATACGTACATAGTACGATAAACATAATGATGTCATCATTAATAATTTAATACTAGAAATAGTTTTGGTTTACCGAACAATCAGGAAATGCAAATTATTTGATTTAATTATAATATTACACACGATAATATTGTATGTATATTGTACATATATATATATTTTAGATTATAAGTAAAGCGAGGAATATATTAGTTTTACAGTGATAATTATTTATTTATCTATTTTTTATGTGAACCACTTTTCTATCAAAAATATTTCTCCGATTTTCAAGTGTAGCACTTTTTCTGAAAGTAAATCGGTATGAAATGGTACTTTAAAGAGGTAATTTTTCGATTTTCACAGTAGTTTTCTCAATATATTCAAAAAACCGGTAAAAAAAAACCGGGAAAATGTACGAATGTGCTGCATTTTTTAAAATTAACTTATTAATATTCACGAAGAAAATTTCGTTTAAAACTGATCGATTTCTAACCCATTTCCCGTGGTCCGATCGACTTGAAGTTATGCAAGCAACCATGTTTACAATACAATAATTAATATCATATTTTCCGAACAATTTCGTTTTTTTAAATTAAAATTAGAATCATAATTTATTTCATGTTACTTTAGCAATTGATTTATACACATTTATAATATGTATTAAAAAACAAAAATGATGTAATTTTGAGTTTGTTTTGTCCCACAAGAGGAATACAAGTGGGAAACTAAGGGGGTTGAAAGAGCCTCCATTTAGATCGTATAAGTACATTTAAAATGTAATTTATTCTAAATCGGGTAAATTACAATTTGTATTAAAAACACATTTTAACATCATAGAAAAGTAGATCTAACTATTTATTCCTAGATCTGTCCCTACTCGTATTTCAGAAATCCTAGTTACGCTTATGCGATGTTGGGTAATGGTAATACTTTGTTAATATACCGTGTTCGGTTTATTTGAATGGATATAATTATATAAAGTATGCGCTATTGTTATATTTTGAGTTTGCTCAAATAGGTAGTATGACAATAATTTTTAATTAAGTCACCAGTACACGTCATTCTATAACGTGCAAGATCGATAAAAAACATTTAAGTATGTACCGTGTAACTAAGTATAATAATAATGTATAAGCACGTATTAATCAATAATAATTAGAATAGTTTTGAAGACTTTGTATTTACACGATTAATTTAATTAATTTACGGGTATATAAATGAAGAATGAGATTAACCTAACCTATAGGAAATAAACTGCGTTATTGTTAATAACAGTTATTTATACTTATTATTATAAATTGTATTTTTGTATATTTTATTATAATATATTTAAAATGTATATAGTTAGTAAAATATGCCATATTTTTTTTCCTGCAAAACTTTTTATTACTGGTATGATTTAAAAATGTTTTAAAAACAAACAGACATAGTTCGCAGGATTGGTGGGCCACTGTTGTAATTGAGAAGTTGGAAAGGTAAAAAGGAAATTGAATGTATATCTGTTCGCAAAAATGAATCATTGACAATCAACGAAAAACCATGCTGAGCGGAGTTCAGTTATACCTATCTATATATGTTTTGAAAGGCAGTAATATTTACGATTTGAAAGTAATACATTTTCTCGTTTTTCCCACGTTTTTTTTTTCCATCTATTATGAAATCCCTGGGAAAATAAAAAAAATACCTCCCTAAAGTACCACCCCAGTCAAATTTCTTTTAAGAAAAAGTGCTCCCCTTGAAAATTGAAGCAACATTTTTGGAAAAATTGTTCACAGAAAAAAAACAGTCATCAATTCATTCCTCGTTCCGTTCAAAATCTAAAAGCAATATTGCTTGTATTTTATGTACATAAATTTATAGACAAATTGTTTTTAAATACAAAGCGGAGCAAGAGGTCTATTAGTTTGATCTTTAGGGTTTGTTGTTTTTTGTCTGTAAATAATTTTTCGAACAGAAAACTTGCTCAGATAAAAACATTATAAGAGACCTTTTTTTGTTGTATTTTTAATCTAGTAAGTGAGTTTTACTTGGTGAATCTGGCAGTTTTTATTATAACTGGGAAAAAACGAGAAAAAGACAAAATTAAAACTGACAAATTTTGATGAAAATCGTAAATATTACTGCCTTTCACGTCATCTATAAACGAACTTCGCTCTGATTTTTTTTTTCTTTAGCAATGGTTTATTGTTGCTTATAGGTATAAATTAAATAACTAAATTTATCCTACCTTCCCAACTTCCAACCGACAACAATGATGCACTTATCAGTAGTATTAGCTCTTTTATTATTATTTATCATCCCGTACGAAAGAGCGTGAGGATATTATTGAATGAAAAAAAAATAAATATATGTTTTCCCTTAACTTCTGTTTCCGCCCCATGCTTATTATTATAATAATTAGTTATTAATAAGTAAAGTTAGTAGATTTGTGTCAGTTTGTGTCTAGACTATTGTAGTTTCCCGTTATTATTTAGTGAGTAGTATAATCATTTTCTATAAATTTAAAAATGGAAGATCGCCATAAAGTAAAGCGAGTTTATATGAGTGGTACAGAAAAAAGTAAACTAGCAAAAGAAAAAGAGCGAAAAATACCGAAATAATTTAATAATAATGTATTATGTATATGAAAAGAAGTTCAGTTAAATAATTGTAATAGTATATTTAGGTTTTAATACCTACATAATTAAAAATAATTCCAAACTCTATTTTGTTGAACTAATTATAAATTTAACTTTAGTTGTAATACTAAATCTTAGGAGTAAAATCAGTTCAAATCAACGTGATATTCACAGTAAATGGTTTACTTAATGAACTTTAAGCACTGAGTGATGTAAATTAATTTTATTGTGATAATACATACTGTATAATATATTACTTATATTTAACTAAGTCATACATTTCTGTAAAATATTTTTCGCTATGCATTAACTTCAAGAGTGGTTTCAAAGTAGAAAATTTTATCTTGTTAGTGCAAAGGGAAGGTCATTTTGTTTTTTTCATTTACCTTACTTTTCTTAACAATATGTGAAAACCATAAAAGAACGTTAGCATATTATTATTTTATAATATTAATTTATAATTTTTAAATTATCCCGTTTTGAGTTAATTTCACAAAATAACCAGTTGATATAGTCCTCTTTTATATAAATTGATTATGATGAAGATAAAAAAGATAAGTAAATCGATCAATAAATCATCAGTATTTTAATTTTTCATACTCTTTTCTTAATATTGTACATATACTTTTAATAGCAGTAAATATTCAATATTTTTGTAAATTTCAATACCTATTAATCAGTCAATTTTTTTTTCGATTCTTCAACTGGTTTAACATTGATTTGAAACCTTTTATTTTTATATTTCTAGCCAGTCGACGCATGCCACTGTTTTTGTTTTTATTTGAAATTAATGTTTATAGTTATATAATATTTTGACATTTTGTATTCAATACTTACTCATACATTTCAGTATTCAAAATGATAAGTACGTTAATAATGGTATAATATTTAAACAGTCTATTGAAATAATACAAAAAATATTTACTACATATTTAAATATTACGAGTGAGAATTATGTTATCCATATAAAATAATCAGGCCCCCAAGTTATCTGAAAATGTCATTTCCAGACGGCCACTCCGCACATATGTACCTATTATATGTTATAATGCTGTATTAAAAAGTATCTTGTGATTTTTAGATTAAATAATTTTTTTCTGGTAGAAAATGTCCGTGTTTTATAAAATAATGAAATCATGAAATTGTACATTTTCCTACGTTTTTTCCCACTTAAGTTCTTTTATTTAAAAAATGGCGTCAAAAATCAAAAAATGGCCTCCTTAAACCACTTTACACCAATTTCCTTTCAGAAAAAGTGCTACACTTAAAAATCTAAGCAAGTGTGCTAAAAAAGTTGCGCAGAAATAAAAAAAAATAATAATAAACATATTTGTAAAACCATAAACTTCTTCAGTTCACTAATGGTCACTAATGCGTCAATAATATTTCAGCTTTTCTTTCGTTATGTGTACATATTTTTATTGTATTTATGATCAATTTTTATTACTATATTATTATTATAATGATATTCTGTTTTTTCTTCAGTTCCGAATAACACACAGTCTGAAAAGAAAGTGCACAGGGATCTCGAGTTGATTATATTTGTCATGTTGGCGTTAATATTGATCTTTTGGAAACGCCGATGGTTCTACACAGAATACCAGAAATTGAAGAAAACATTTGTAAATGATAAATATGCCCTATGTAAGTTGTTCTTTTTTTCGGTAATTTGTTTTAGTAAGGTATAATAATAAAATATGTATTTATTTTTTACTATAGAAATTTAATGATAATAATAATAATAATAATACTTTCAGCGAAAAAGACCGTGCATAATGTTATAGTGTTTTACGATGAAGAGAACAAAGAGAGTGCTCAATACTTGGTAAAAAACATGGAAAATCGTGACAATTATATAACAAAGAAATGCCACATAGAATTTGATGAAGGTTACCATTTTTTTTTTTATATGCATTTTAAATAATATTATTATTATAACCTCGTCGCGTATTTTTCTGCTGCAGATTTCATCAAAACCCACGTCGACTTAATTAAAGGTTACGACTTCGCCATTTATCTATTATCCTCCGAAGATATAATCGCATCGTCCTTTATGAAAAAATCTACTCAAAAGTCTTTATTTCAAGATAACGCGTTGCCCAAGAAATACATAATCGTGAGTAATAATCTGTCATACCTATATTATACCCAAAACTTTTTCTTATTTGTATGGTATGTATATAGAAGGTGTCCCATAAAGATATACCCATTACAGTGTCTCCTGAAATAATTTTTTACTTCTTTTAATCAAATTCTGTTTTTATTTTTCAATATTATTCGCGGAATATAAGGACTACAAATATTTATCTTTTAATTAAATGTTTATGTTTTGGTAAAAGAAACTTTTTATTTGATTATTTTCGAAAAATTTGTAGATAGCAATGTTATAGAGTTTATTCTTTTGTAAATTTTGACTTGCAAGTTTTTATTTTCATTAAATTTCTGATTTTTAATTTTTTTTTAAATTTTAGAGAAAAGTACCTACCTATATAGTTATAATTATATGCAGTAGGCTGTAATAACATTTTTTAATTGTTTATTATAGCCAATTGACTATATACTTTTTTTTCTCTGAACTTAAAAAAACCATCCTCAAATTTTTCGACAGAATAAAATAAATTAGTGATTTTTTTTTAGTTTTTTTAATCAAAACATAAAAATTTAATTCAAATAAAAATATTTGTAGTTCTTATCCCCACGAGTTTCATGAAAAAAAAAAAACACAAAATTGTATTATCTTTATTATCTCCGAAGATATTACAATGGGTATATCTATGTGATACGCTCTGTATAGGAGCGAGAAAGACGCATCATCTTAAAATAGATATGAAATCTATTATTATCCTTCTTTAAACCTAAATCTTAAACGGTATATTTGATATCAGTGTTATGCATACCGAAATGATTGGAAAAATATTTTTTTTCGCGAATGTTTCGAAAACTCTTGGGTACCGTTTGAAAATCAAAAGTTAATACACGTTCAAAGTATAAAGATTAGGAGCCTAGGGTTAATTGTTTGAAGAATAAAGCTTAAACAATTCCATAATGGCTAAAGAAAAAAAAAATTAAATCATTGATTCATGATAAAAGAATATCACTCTTTGTATAATATAAAGTTTGAACTGTTTTAGCGTTCGTTTTGTATACGTTATATTGTGTAAGTAACACATTTTACGGTTATATCCGAAGGACCATTAATTTTATATAATATAAGTAAATTGCCTATAATTTATAATATATATATATATATATAGGTTTATCGTTATAAGGTTATTGCGGAATATCATCGTAACCTTCAAGGTGAAAATATTTTTCTCCGATTTCCCATGCTGAAAACGGGTAATCAGGGTTATCGGATTGATATTGAGATGAAAAAAAAATCGACCTCGACGATACCTGTAAGAAGAATCATTGCCGGATTTACAAATATATATAATATATATATATATATGTATTATTTATGTCATGGCTAATGTTGGAAATTGGATAGTATTCAATTTTCTTTCAATAGATTCAATTTTGTGCTGTTAATTTTAATATTAGATTGAATTGGCCTATTGTCAAACTCAAAGGTAAGAATGATATCTGCGGTGGTTTTTGGACGTTTTAATTTTCAAGCGAGACACGACCATGTGAAATATTACAATTAAAAACTATTCGTATTTTGCTTATAAATATTAAAATATCTAGAAAAAAAATACGTACTGATATAGATAATGTCCATATACCTTTAAAACTAATAATGGGTAGATTAACTCTAATTTCAAAACGAAAAGCCCAAAATTAATACTACTGAACGAAAATTTGACATTGGCTGTCACGAATAAAACACATAAAGAGTGCCCCTCGATTATATTATACCAATTGTGATATCTCAAAAAGTATTAAGTTTTTTTCAGAATTTTTTTTTCAAAAATTTAAAAAACAAACAGCTCTAAAATGTTACATTACCGTTATATTTTGTCAACCTTATTTTTAAGGTTAAAACGTGTATACTTTTGATTTTCAAATGGCGACCTATATTAAAAATTCCATAAATATATGAATTATTAGTTTAAATTTAAATTACACTTTGATGTTGAAATGTATTTAACCTAATACTACCATGTATTTATGGACTGACTTAGTATTATAGATTTCATTCTAAAATCAAAATTACATAGTTGTTTCGTCCCTAAAAATAATGGCGATATCCTATTTTACCGTTGCTGAATCTTAGTCCGTTCGAAATATCTCGTGATGGTACCGTTTGAGTGAAACACGTCCGTACATTGTTATACTGACAATTCGCGGTAAAATAATCGCCCTGTAATCTCTGTATATTTAATAATTTATTGTCTGGTATTATCAAAATGTTACTGGCGTGTGTTTCAGAACTGCGGCAATATGCCCGTGACGCCGACCAGGTCGTGGTGCGACAGGGTATTGGAGGATCTGAGCACCGAGGACAACAAACGGAACGACAAGACGACGGCGAACAAGAGATTAATCAGAATCGTCTAGAAACAAAAGAAGAAAAGCAGCAAAACAATACAAATAATAATTGAAAAACGTAGTCGCTGATGAGATTATAATATAAGTACCTACCTAATATTATATAAGTATATATACCTAATATTCCTATACGCAAGCATTTTTTTTATATACATATTATGTATACGTAGCGACCTATAGGGACGATTTTATCATATTGCTATTTGTCACACGTCGTGTTATTTATTCGCGACGAACGAATAAACGAAAATAGATTTTTAAAAACCTTGAAAAAAAAAAAACGGCCTTTTGTTTAGCGTTCGTCTCTCTTCTATCTCGCCCGCGCGTCTCGCGGCGACTATTACAATAGATTTTTATTTTTTCTATCGATTTTTTCGCCAACAATGTTGCGTGTTCAATATAATAATAATATGTTGTTTACTAACTACAACTACTGCAGCTTATTACTGTTGTTATTATTATTATTTACCGTTTTATCCGTTGTAGTTGTGTAACGTTTTTATGTAATATATTTGTTGTGTGCAGGGGCACGTGCCCGTTACGTAACGCCGCCCCGTTAATTATTTTATTATTTTACGCCGGCGCCGCGCCGCGGTCCACGAAACGAGATTGTATTCCATCCGCGTGACATTCTAGTTAATACCCTTCTTCGATCCGTCGTCATTATTACTATGTAGTATTATATTGTTATTAATATTTACATTATTATTATTATTATTATTATTATTATTATTAATTTTATAATTATTAGGTATAATGTATTTTAATACACGCTATTATATTTTCATTATAGAATATAGACGATAGAGTATTATCATGATAATGTATTGTTAAATATTGTATTCTTCGTATGTAGGCGTATATTATAGGGTGGTCCTTAGTATTATAGATGAAGATTTTTTTTGTTTTGAGTTTTTTCAATGGGCTATACCCCGCCATTTTGTCCGGTAATATGAAAACAAATTGTGAGTAGACTTCGGGTTTGACCCACTCACCCCCTTCGCGTGCCGCAAGGGATTTGAAAAATGACCAAACGCCGTAGAAAAAAACATTAAACGTGATTCGCTTCGTTAATTTGCAAAACCTGGTATTTTACGGTTATTGAAATATATTTAACTTATACAAAATCAAATTGAATTGCCTACAAAATAAATTATGAGAAAGAATTGCATACGATCAACAATTTTGTCCTTTTTATAAAAAAAAAATATTTAGAAATCATCCCGAGAACAGAATTAAATACATCTTAACTTTAAAAATATGTTTATATATTTTTTAAGTGTAAATTGTAGTGTGTATTTTTTACAGTGTATGTATATTATATATAATACTGTATATATATAAACAAGGTTCGTTCTCGCCGTCGTAAACGTTTTAAATATTAAACGGATATTATAATAATATATAACGATGATAACCGACCGATTGGTGGTGTGGAAGAGGGGTTTTAGCCGTAATTTCGGTTTAAAAACCGGATAAACGCCTTTGTTTGCCCCGGTGAAACGGGCCTTTAAACGCGTACTACGTGTCATTCGACACCCGTACGGCATTAAAACGATAATATTATCGTAATAATATTGTTACAGAACAATATTTATATATCATTGTATTTCGCGCATACCGGCCAGCTATAGCAGCGCGTGTATTCCGTATTATTATTGTGTCGGTCGATTCGAACCGAGTGGTCGCAACCGTATACGCCTACGCGTGTTATCGTTTTTTTTTTTTGTTTTTTTTCAACCCCTTTGTGTAGTTTCGGTTTAAACGATTAAAACACTAAATACATCACATTTTTGATTCTACGAATACCTGCTAACAATAATTGTAATACTTAATCGCGTAATACAATATTTTCCGACTAAACTACACCGAAACTCGTGTACACTGCACGCGGTCAACGATTACACCACCGCCACATCCAAGAGCGTATCACCTGCCTTGTACAATAGTATTATGAAGTGGAACGTACTATAATACGACGCCTATTATTATTAGTATTATTATTATTATTATTATTATACAGTTGTTACTCGCTTATACGCTTCATAAGTAGTAGATATTAATCATTATAATATTAGAATTAAATAGAATATATAATTCTTGAATGTATTATAATATACATAATTTATATGATACATAAATATACATGTATAGGATATACAATGTATTGCAATACTGTACTATATAATTTGACATTCAGTTCCTGTCAAAAATATTAATCCAATTACCGTTTACATGGAGAGTTGGAGTTAATTCGATTTGACAATACGAATTATAAACTTTTAAAACACATTTAGTTAATGCGTATTAAACGTAAATTTGTATGCAAGTTCAATTAAATATGAAGAATCAGTGACGTGGCGTGCATATAATTAACGTAAGCGTTACTTACACATTCAGTTATACAATATTATAGGTATATTTTTAAATAAACAATTTAAGCCATGATCAAGTTCAAATAATGTAAAATTATCTATCACATTTTGGAATAGTATAAAGAGATGACATATAAATAACTTTCAAATGTGATTTAAATCGTTTTTGATAATATTCATGTTAAATAAATGATGAGCGGCTCGCTTGAACTAGGTAGTAAAAATAGATGGAGGTATGATAAGTAGGTATACAACTGTTAGTAATTGTTTACACCGCTGATTACATTACACCACGTCACTGTGAAGAAGGTTAATAGGCAAGAGTGACTACTCGTAAACCCGTAAACATATTAGTAATAAAAGTATCGTCGTAATATTACATCACGAATTTGATAACTGTTATCATATGAATGTACAAATCACATAGAAAACACTTAACAAAATCACACCTTCAAAATCTACGGTGTCGTTTGTTTACACTTGTGTAAATAAGATTACACTATACGGCAATATAAAATTATACCTTTTTCGGTTTTTAATTGTTTTTTCGTTAAACTAAGGGTGTATCGACTGCTTTCCGCGTTAACATGCCAAGTTAACAATTTGCATTCATATTATATGTTGATTAAATGGAACATGGTTGTATGATAAATGTTCACGATAATCCTGTAAAACGATTTTTTGTGTACACTTTAACATTGCATTCTCCGTTCATACACCACCGACGTTTGGAATTATTTTTTTTATTCCAAGACCCTGCAATAAATGTATAATTATTCAAAAATAATATTTTTTTACCGCGATTGCTCTTTATAAATTCAATCATTTCAATAAAAAAAATAAAAATAAATCAAAATTTAAAGTAAAAAAATGACAAAAGTGAATGAACGACGTAACGTGTACATATGTCATGCTCACTGAGACTGTACAAACATCGATTTTACAAAAATGAATAATAAACAAAACAATTTAATAAACCGATATTAAGCTGCGATAAATTCATAAAAATCTGTTGGTATTTATATAAGTATTAGCTTTTGCGCCCAATCTAAAAATAGTTTAACATTGTTTCGTTTCTACATCAGTCACTGCTGCGTCGGTCGCACACATTAGTTCTAGTCATCTGACATCTACTTAAAGATGAAGAACCAGACGAAAAAATAATAAACAGTTGCAGAAGGAAAAAAACGAAAAAAGTTCATGACATATTTTCAACTAGTCGCGAAGTCTATCGAAAGTATATTTCATAGTTTTTTTTTTAGATTAACTTAAAATCAATTTGATTTTGTTTCAACTGCCATTGCCTATTTTAAAAATACAAATATTTCCAATTACACAATTATAAGTCAAATATATTCATCAATAAGTTCAGAAAGTTTTAAGTTCCAAAGAAAAAAGTCCTAAAAGAAATTTATTTTTTATATGAGGTGGGAGAAATATTATAGACGTTCGCTGGGTCGCTGAAGTTGACTGCATAGCACTGGTCCGAATATCAGTAGCTGCAGTTTACCGCACGCAGCACATCCTTCCGTCACATAAACAAAACCGACTCCTTAAGTAAAAACCAAAGGCTTCTGGAAACGAAATAGGTAAGATTTGAAGAATGTTTACGTATCTATAACACTGTATAGTATGTCTCTACAGTGGCGTCGAACACGGGGAATTCTCGGGGTATCGGTGGTGGTGGTGACAGTATAATATAAATATTTTATCTCCTATAACTGGGCGTTCTTCTATTAAAGTAATTAGAAGTCTAAATCGAAACGTTTTATTGATTTATAAACATCATAGCGTAAGTATAAATGAAATATAAAATGGAAATAATAATATTATCAAAAAAATTATAAATAAAACGAAACAATCAGTATCACACCAATGACGAAAGTAATCTAAAACGTAGTCGCTATCGGACAGGAAATGAGTGTGTTTGATAGGTTCCGATGAAACCATAATGTGATAAAATTCAATACGCACCCATGGTTAAAATGTACAAGGTTATTGCATAATATATAATCAAATATTTGATGATAAAAATATAAATGGCAGCGTAAAGGAGCCAGCGTATCTTTCATGATAAGAAAATTTATATTTGTGATAGCCGATTTACGCAACCATTTTGTATCTGATGAGTGGCGTTGTCATCAAACAATTTTCAAATCCTGTTTATAACACTAAATGCTTATAAAAACTAATATTTGATACCTATTCGATTTCATAGATATATCATATACTATGATTTATTAAGATGCGTATACTTTATGTCAATTGATACTCCAGTCGACGTTGACTAGAGCCTGTATTATGTCGGTTAAGATCAAAGAGTTTTGGTAGAATGTAAAATATCGATCGACATGTTAATGGGCTCAGTCTTGATTTACTTGTAATTCAGAGTGGGTGTGATTTTTTTTGATTTATGAAAATAATTGATACATGGTGAATAATGATAGGTACATGATAATAATTCACAAAAGTAAACGAATTCCTGGTAACTAGAAAGCGTAGAGTAACTGCGATGCGTTCTGTCGCAGGAACGATATGTCTGTCAATTTTGGTGCAATCGTTATCAATATATTTTCAAAGTTGCTATTTTTCATACGGAAAAAATTACTGAACCATCGTCACATCTATTTCCTA